GACTCCATGTGCTCTGCGCTGGGCCCTGGCCTCAGGGGTCTCAGTCTGGGAGAGCCGAACGGAAAGAACATGGCGAGCGGAGGAACTGTGGGAGCCAGAGCCGTCGTCCAGCCCCATCGGGGGCATCTGGGAGGGCTTCCCGGGGGTGGCAGATGATGACTGATCTGAGTACTGACTCTCCCAGGGAGGTGAGGGCAGGGGGCAGGTGTGTGTGGAGGAGAGCCGTGAGGACAGCGAGTGTGGCTGGGCACCCCGGGGAGATGTAGGCGGCCTCGCGGGGGCAGCCCGAGCCCAGGGAGCCCAGAGGGGCAGAGAAAGGTGCGGGCCGGCTGGGGGGCTCATGTGCCAACACCTGGGGGATCGGGTAGACCTTCATGAAGAGAAACAATGGCCAGCTCTGTTCTAGAAAGCCCACGCTGGGGGTGTGTGGATTGGATGGGAGGGGAAGAAGCCAGGCTGGGGACGGGGACAGGGAGGAGGCAGGACAAGGGGGGGCTCAGCTGGAGAAGCTGTCGTCCTCCTGACCGACCGGGTGCCGCACCTGCCAGCAGGTGAGATGCGCAGGGAGCTGCCGTGAGCTCCTTAAGTGGACCCTGCTGGAGGTGGATTCTGCCCCAAGGGTCTGGCCTTGAACCTGGCAACACATCCTGACTGAGAGAAAGGAAGTCTCAGGAAATCCTGAAAAGCGACAGGTGGGAACTGGCCAGAAGGGAAGGAAGAGGCCTGGATCCTGATGGGCCTTGGAATTGGGGTTTGGACCAAGTGTAACCAGACCTCCTGGGGAGGGCGGGGCAGGGGCGGGTGGGGGGCAGGGCAGGGGCAAGGGGAGGGGCAGGGGCACCCAGCTGACTCCTGACAAATAACCAGTAATAACAGCTACTGCTTCCCTAAGTGCCGTAGAACATGACATTCACCTGACCTGGAACACGCTCTCTGCCCTTCTAGCCTGGCTAGTTCCTGCTCAGCTCCAGCACCCCCTCCTCCAAGAAGCCTCCCCTGACTTCTCAGGCCAGGTCTGCTGCAGGCTCTGTGCTGACTGTGGCTCTTTGCAACTAACTGAAGAGCAGCAGGTTGGAGGGAAGACCAAGCCTTGACAGTGGCCTTGAGACTGAGGCCGCTCAGGTCTGGGGTTCCTGAGCAAGGTCTGGGCTGGAGACACACAAAAGCCAAACATGAGCAATCAAGGTTGTCACAGAACACATAGAAGGCTGGGCAGGACAGCTGGGGACAGACCCCAGGAAGCTCCAAAATTACAGGGCTGGTGGGAAGAACAGAACTGCACGATGGAGGCTGAGAAGCAGGAGCTGGAGAGAGATGGGAGAAGCAGGAGTGGGGAAGAAAGATGGCGCCCAATGAACCACTTCTAGCATTCAGGCCCTGGTGGTGTCCCCTTCCCTTGAATCAGGACTGACCCTGTGACTTGTTTCTGACTAATGTGATAGAAGTGATTCCACAGCACTTCCAAGCCTCAGTCATAAGAAGTGTGAAGACTGCACCTGGGTCTCTTGGAACTCTCCCTCAGGGAAGTCAATCACCATGGAAGAAGTCGGACTACAGACTCCCTGAGGCCGCCATGCTGCGAGGAAGCCCAAGCTAGCCACATGAAGTGGCCACGTGGAGAAAGGGAGAGAGCTGTCCAGTGCCCCCCACCCCCCGATGTCACAGCCACCCCAGCTGAGGCAACAGACATATGTGTAAAGAAGCCATCTTGGGGCAGCCCTGGTGGCGGAGCAGTTTACTGCTGCCTGTAGCCCGGGGTGTGATCCTGGAGACCCGGGATGGAGTCCCGCGTCAGGCTCCCTGCATGGAGCCTGCTTCTCCCTCTGCCTGTGTCTCTGACTCTCTCTATATATATCATGATTAAATAAATAAAATCTTAAAAAAAAAAAGAAGCCATCTTGGATGTCAACCCAACTGAGCCTTCAGATGACTCCCACCCAGTCACCACTTGACAGTGACTGCAAAAAAGACACCATGAGAACTGCCCAGTTGAGCCCAGTCCATCCACAGGACATGAGTGATAATTTAAAAAACTTGTTCTAGGCCATGAAGTCTGTAGTAATTGGTTATACCACATGGTTGTTGAAGCAGTTGGTAATTTAGAGCCCTCTGGGGTAGACATCGTCCCCATTTCACAGACGGGGAAATAGAGCCCAGAGAGGGATGTGACTCAGTGAGGGTTACGTAGCCAGCTGGAGGCAGCGGTTGGGCTTGGAACGCAGGCAGGTTTGTCTGGTAGCTCAACCCATGCTCTCTCCACAGCATGTGCCCGACTGCCTGACACCAGACCTCACAGCCCCATCACATGGTTTGGGCCAAATTCCCTGTGTGACAGGCCACTGGGCTTTCCCCAGGGCAGCTCACCTGGGCACCTGCTAGAACCCTAGGTTTTTTTTTTTTTTTGCTTTGTTTTCCATTGAGACATGATTCATACACAAATGCACAAATCGTAAAGTGTACAGTATGGGCCATTTTACATGTGTATACACCCCTGTGACCACTACCCAGATCAGATCTACAACATTGCCGGCACGCCAGAAACTCCCCTTGCTGCTCCCTGCTGGCCCATGTCCATCTCCCACCCCAGCCCAGAGGTCCTCCAGTTCCGATGAACTTCACCATAGCGAATGTTGCATCAATGGAATCGTACAGCCTGTGCTTTTGTGCCTGGCTTCTTTTGCACATTATCTGGAAGATTCCCCCATGTTTCTATGTGTGGCACAGGCATCCTGTCCTCTTACCATGTAGGATTCTGACATCTGAATCTACCACCAACTCATTCGTTGGGACGCTCGCATGGTTTCCATATCCCAGCTACATCGGAACATCACTGTGCTAGTCATTTCGTAGACTTCAGCGCTCATTTCTCTGGGGTGTATAAGAAGGAGCAGAAATGCTAGGTCACAGGGAGGATGTCCGCGTCACTCCACGGAGAGACTGCCAGCCTCCCACAGTGGTTGTATGAAGACCACTCCCCACCCTGCTTCTCCATATCCTAGGGGACATTTGGTATGGTCCCTTTAATTGGAGTCGTCCCAGTAGAGGAGAGTGCTAGGTCACTGTCTTTTAAGGTGTGCGGTGGAGCATCTTTGCCCTCATTGGCCTGATTTTTTCGCTTGTCCCAGCAGTTGAGGAGGAGGGGGTGGGTGGCACCCATCGCTGCCCAGGAGCTAGATGGGCGCCCCCTCCAAGGTGGGCTGAGTTAGTCCTGGAGGCAGAAGATGGAATCTAGCACGTCAGGAGGGCTGGTAGGAGGTAACAGAGCAGGTGCAGGTGGGCAGGGCTCTGAGGTCAACTGGGTGCCGGGGGCCAGTGGCAGACATCACTTCAGAGTGGCTCAGGGATGCTCCTGATCTCACTGAGACAAGAAGTCCTCAAACAAGGTGGTGCCAAGCCTGGAAGATTTGAAGTTTCAGGGTTCTGGTTCTTCCTCTTTCTACTTGGCCTTTTTTTTTTTTTTTTTTTAAGATTTATTTATTTACTAGAGAAAGGGAGAGTGTGGGAGAGGGAGAGACTCCTAAGCAGACTCCCCGCTAAGCACGGAGGCTGGCTGGGGGCTCCATCTCACGAACCTGAGATCATGACCTGAGGAGAGATCAAGAGTTGGACGCTCAACTGACCGAGCCCCGCAGGCGCCCCTCTACTTGGCCATTCTAGTATATTGACAAGGCAAAATGATGGCAACATGGGAACTTTACCTGACACTGTCTGAAGCCCAGGAGAGGACTCCCTCTTTTGTACCTCTTTTTTAAGAGCAAACACCTCCCAGATGGCCCCCTCCAGCTCTCCACCCCACTTCAAGACCCCTCGGCATCTCACCGACTGGAACTGCCTCCTAGGTGCATCCCTAAACCCATCACTAGCCAGGGAATGGGTATATTCTCCCCACAGCTGACACGGTTGCTCCCCTTGAGTCTTTCTCTGAACACATCAGGGATGTTTATAGGGCATTTGCTCATGCTGTTCCCTCACTTGAAAGGCCCTTCCTGATTCTTCCATGTAGAAAGATCTATTTCAAAATCACCTCCAAAAACCCTCTTCTACCTGCAGGTTGAGTAGGGGGGTCTTCTCTGGGACCCAACTTGTTTTTGTGGCCTCAGTTGGGGCAGGGCCAGCCCTTGATCACCTCACCCAGTACCCAGCCAGGATTGATTGGCAAAGCTGAGGGGAGGGGAGCACAAGGCCGGCTCACTTGTCACCTCATCTTGGCCATAGCCCTGCTGATTTGACAGCTGGGGCTGGGCTTGCACTAGCTCACATGGGGACTAGGGCTGAGGCCTCCAGCATGGATGTGTGGCCACATCCACCACCCCACCAACCTTGCCCAGGCTGGATGTGACCTCCGGGCACAGCCTCAGTATAGGATTGGGGCTGAAAGGTACCCATTTGACAGAGAAGCAAAATAAAGCTTAGAGGTGGGGCGTGGCTTGGCCGGTCAGCAGGGGCAGAGCCTCAGTTCCCACCCTTTCTGAGGGCTAGCCCTTCTCGGACTTGGAGAAGTCACTGGGGGTCCGAGTCACAGTGTAGATTCTGACTTAGTGGGTCAGAGTGGGACCTGGACTTGGTATTTCTTTTTCTTTTTCTTTTTTTTTAGGTCTTATTTATTTATTTTTTGAGAGAGAGAGAGAGAGAGAATGAGAATGAGGCAGAGACACAGGAGGAGGGAGAAGCAGGCTCCATGCCAGGAGCCTGACGTGGAACTCGATCCCGGGACTCCAGGATCACGCCCTGAGCCGAAGGCAGGCGCTAAACCGCTGAGCCACCCAGGGATCCCCTGGACTTGATATTTCTAACCTGCTCCCTGGTGATACGGCTGCAGCTGCTGGTCTGCAAACCCCACGAGGTGCTGCAAAGCTGTGGCCTGATGCACGAACTGGATTCTCGACTCTGCCCTCAGAACTCACTCACCTCCGTTCAGGAAGGGTGGAGAGCCGGGGGTGTGGGTGGTGAGGTCCCAGCCTTCATGACCCACCCTGCCCCAGCCATCCTGGACACCAGAGCTGTGGGAACATTTTATTAAGTTAAGAAGGCTCATGGGGCAGGAGAGAAACGCCTTCATGGGGCGGCTCCAGCGTTCCATGCCTAGCACCCCCTCGGAGGAGGAAGAGGAGGAGGAGGCAAGGCCTTAGGGACAGCTTCTGGCTCCCTCTGCCCATAGGTCCCTCTGTCCAGAGTCCCAAGGTGTGGGTCCCCTCAGGGCAGGAAGTAGTTAGTGGGAGGTAGGGTAGGAAGAGGGTGGCTGGCTCCCTGCCTCTCCCACCAGAGTCCACCCTGCCATGGCCGCTGCTGGGCCTCTGCTAGACCCCTCAGGTAGGGCCACGGGCCCAGAAGCCCGAGCAGGTGGCTAGAGACAGAGGGAGAGCAAGTGATGGAGGCACAAGGCCACCAGGAATTGCTTTTTTCAAAGTATAAAGTGTTCTGGGGGGAAAAAAAGGAAAAAATCTATATAAAAATCTCTTCACATATAAAATCCTGAAGAAGGTGCAAGGTAAGACCCAGTGCGAGGGGCGCGCTCAGATACGCAGAGTGTGTATGTGTGTGTGCATGTGCATGCGTGTGTGTGTGTGTGTGTGTGTGTGTGTGTGTGTGTGTGGTGGGTATGAGTGCATGTGCGGCCCACAGAGGGTGGGAAGAAAGCTTGGCTGGCTTCTGACTTCCATCCAGCAGGAAGGAGGGCAACGGACTGGTCCCCTCAGGCCAGGGTGGGGGGTCTGCCGCAGGGCCGGGCCACCAGGACCTGGAAGGCAAAAGTCGGGGAGCTGCAGGTGGAGGCCAGGCAAGGTGGCCCCAAAGGCTGGGCCAGACCTGCTGCTCCTCTGGGCTTCTCCCCAAATCGCCTGGCCCCTCCCAAGTGCCTCGGGAAGTCCGCAAGGATGGGTCAGAAAGCAGGAGCTCCAGGCTGGTGCAGCCTTAGGAGATGCCCCCTAGGAGTGCTGATGCGTGGTGAGTCCCCGACGGCCCGAGACTACGGCAGGGCGCCGAGCTCCACCCAGGATGTCAGAGGTGCACAGCTCAGTGGAAGGGATGCTGCTGCGGGTCAGTGATGGGTGCCACGCTGCCAGCTCTAGAGCGGGACCCAGGCTCCCTGGATTTGCTGGCCCAGCCGAGGCAGACCCACCAGGGCACTATTCAGTCCTGACAAGGTGGGTGGGTTCATGAGGCTGTGGTGGGGGGCGCGGGGTACAGCGCTAACAGGTGCCTGTGGTCCTGTGGGGGGATGCGGCAACCATCGGGCCCTGACCTGCACTGCTCCAACTCTGAAGAAACACACTCAGGTTTACAAACAGCCTCTGACTGAGTCTGACTGACCCACTGACACCCCCACGGCCCCATGTTGCAGGGGCCACGAGAAGGAAGCGTCCTGGGTCAGTGGCACAGTGAGTCAGGCGTGGATGAGCCCTGAGCTCACCTCTGTAGGCCCAGTGCCCCACCAGGCCCCCACCCCGCTCGGCCCTGCCCACCCCTTGGCACTCACCTCTATTCGGCCAGGCTGTTGCGCATCGATTCCTTCTCCTGCAGGGCAGCCATGGCAAGGCGTAGGTGTTCCTTCAGCTGCTCGATCTCCCGCTCTGACCGTGTCTTGATGTGGTTCAGTTCCACATACACATCCTGGTACTTCCCTGAAGTGAAGCGCTTGTCCTGGGAGGGCGCGGAAGGGGCCATGAGGGCATGAAGCCCTCTCTCGCTGGCCCTGCCCACCTGGCACATGCCTGCCAAGCTCCCTGCTGGCCACACGAAGCACCCAGGCCCGTCCCCTTGGCAGCCCCCAGGCCTGAGCACACCCTCCTAGCAGGATCCAGTGATGGCTTCCAGCATCATTTTCATCCCTTGAGATGGGAGTTGAGGCTCAGGGAAGTGAAGCTTTTGTCTAAGACCTCTTGGCAGCGAGTGGCCAGGGTGCGAACCAGGTCAGCCTGGCCCAGGGCTTGGGCCCCTTCCCACGAGTCTGACTCATATCCTCATGGAGCCACCAAAACACAGGGGTGTCAGAGACATGGGTACATGGCACCGGGCAGGCCTCAAACTCACAACACTAGGCCCAAATCGTGGCCCTCCCCACTGCCCGCCACACAGCTCATTCCTCACTGGAACGGGTGCTCTGCTGCACAGGGCTGCGGGTCTCTTCTGTCCACAGCTGGCCCCCAGCACCTAGCACAGTGCCCGGCACCTAGTGGGTGCTCAGTGAGTATTTGCTGACAGCACAAATGCAAGTGTGGCCATGGGCAAGTCACTCTCCCTCTCTTGGCCCCCATGTCTTTGTCTGTAAATAGGGACAAGGACATGTACGTGGGAGGTGCATGAGGAGAGTCAGGAATAAGGCAAGGAGTGGCTGGCATGGAGCAGGTGCTCATGGGGCGGGGCAGTCAGGTGGGCCCAGAGGTTCCCTCCCCAGCAGCGTCGAGTCAGACCCTACCTTCTGCAGCATCTGCAGCTCATCCCGGAGACACTGCACCTCCTTCTTCAGGTACTGGAGCTCATTCTCCTTCACTCGCAGCAACACCTAGGGTCACCGGTGCCAGGCTGACCCAGGGCCACAGGCCAGGGCGACCCTGGCCCACAGCACCATGTGGCCTGGCTTCTCTCTGCTTCAGACCCCTAGAATGTAGTTCCCAACCTGCCCCAAGACCACCACACCCCAGGGCCAGGCTCCTCCAGGAAGCCCTCTCTGATTTCTCCTTGCTCTCTCACCTCTCCATACCAGTGAGTGGCTATCTCATGGTCACCTCTCCTATTGTCCTGAACCAGCACCCAGCCCTCAACTTGAGGGCAAAGAAGATGACCATAGTGTTGCCCTCCAGTGAACCATGGAGGGTGGGCCCCCCTGTGAAATATCTCATTAACCCTTCCTCAAACCCTGGGGAGTAGGGGTTGCTCTTCTAACTTGACCAAGTAGGGGATGGGTTTGGCCAGGACTGGGGAGGCTTAAAAGCTGTGATCTGGAGGCAGACAGCCAGGTTCACATCCCAAGTCCTGCACTGACTAGCTGTGAGACCTGGGCAAGGCACCCTATGTCTCAGTGTCCCATCCATAAACAGGTATAGTAACTATATCTACCTTGTAGGACTGTCATGAAGATTCAATGAGTTAACAGACATGAAGGATTTATGGAAGTTCGAGACACAGCATACAGCCATATATATATATATGTTTTTGTAAAACAAAACAAAATAAAATAAAATAAAATAAAATACAGTACAAGGGGATCCTGGATCACACATTTTCTCACTCTAATGTCTCTCAGTAAGGGGGTGCTAGCCTCATTTTACAGATGAGCTATAGGGCTCAGAATAGTGGGGTGACCAACTATGGTCACCCAGCAGCTAGGTGGGACCCAGATGCGAGGGCTGGACTCTGGCTATAGGGCTTTGTCACAGGTGTTCGTCCCAGCTGTGCTGGCTTCTCCTCCCTGGGGGCCAGCCCAGCAGAGCCATGCCATTCTCTGCTGCAGGGCACACCTGGCCTGTCGGTGTGCTGAGAACCAGGCTGCCTGGCACAAGTGGTGGGCACTCACCTCCAGCTCACAGGAGCTCCGCTCGCTGCTGCGTCCACAGCTGTCACCCGTGCCCTGTGAGGCAATGAAGCCACGCAGCCGGTCAATCTCCTCTGAGAGGCGGGTGTGCAGCTCCTGGGAAGCACAGGATGATCAGCGCAGGGTCGATGGACTGCTGTACCCCAGTGCCCCCGACCTCAGGCCAGGCTCACCTGGTTGTGGCGCAGCAGCTCCTGGCCTTCCTGCTGGCAGCGCCGCAGCGTGTGCTCTCGCTCCTCGGCCTGCTGCATCAGGGCTCCGATCTCTAGGCACTTCTGCGAGTACTGCTCCGATAGCACCTGCAGCTCCCGCTTCAGCGCCGCCACGTCTGACCTGTCCCGGGCAGAGGAGGGCAAGGACAGGGTGGTACTTGGGTCAAGAAAAGACTCAGCAGCTCAAGACCCCAGGTACAGCTCTGATTTTGCCTTCAGCCCAATGTGGGGCTGTGAACTGGTGACAGCTTCTTTGGGCTGCAGGGGCCTCCTTTATGAGGGGATGGGTTGGGCCTCAAAGAGCCTACAGCCCTAACATTCCAGAACTGTCCTCTGTGTGGTAGGGAGGGACACCTACTGCCCGAGGGTAGTACTGCAGCCCAGCTCTAGGGGACACGAACCAGAAAAGGAGGTGGAGGCTGGGACCAGCCCCACAAGGAGAGGCCTAAGTACAATCTATGTGGACTGCCAGGGGGCTCTGGCTGAGGCCCTACTGATTCTGTCCCTTGTGCCAGGTGACTGGATTGGGAGTCTCAGCTGCGGGCAAAGTAATGTGTCCTCTGCCAAGGATCCTCAGCACAGGTTCCTGCCTCACCAATACCAGGGTGGGCAGCCCCTAGCTCAGAACAAGGCCCAGCCCAGAGACCCCAGGGTCCAGGTGCCATCTTACTGGTGCTGCTTGCGAAGGCCATCTGGGCCCTGCTGGAGACTCCGTGTCTTGCTCAGTTCCCGGCTCAACTCTTCCTGGTAGGCCTTCTTCATGGCTTCAATGGCTAGAAGCAGGGCAAAGAGGTGGGTGGAGTTTAGGGAGGGGTCAGCAGCAGTAAGCTCCACCTCCTCCAAGGCCCCACATGTATCACACAGACAGAAGTGAAGAGTACTGGGCCAGGCTGTATCAGGAGCTGAATGGCTTTAGGTTAAGTTGCTCGACCTCTCTGAGCCAATTAAGGGAGGATAACAATCCCTCTCTGATGGGATGGAACAGTGCTGGGGAGACACCTCAGTGTCTGACCACTGGTACCTCTTGTTAGTGATGTCTGGGTAAGACCCCAGAGAGCCAACTATCCCTGCAGAGCCTGGAAGATTCTTTCACCAGGCCAAGCTCCGTTGCCCACCCTGCTGATCTTGCCCGGTGCAGGGATTGCAGTTGGTACAAATCTGCACAACTGTATGCAGAGGACTTAACCCCTCTGGGCCTTGGGTCCCTTGTTGGAAAACAGGAATAACAAGAACACCTTTTCTTGTGGGTTATTGGAAGATGTGTGTAGAGCATGTAGAGCAATGCCTGGCCCAGAGAGCTCCCGCTGGCTTTTCAGACTGTGAGCAACCAAGGACCAAGTGTTTCCATACTCACACAGAGCTGCTGGGAGGATTAAACAGGCCCTTGCCCATAATCTTATCCATAATTCTAAAATCCAAAGGTTCTGAACACTGGAAGCTTTTCATCACTCTTTCGGTGGCAATCCCTGACCTGAACAGATGCCAGGCTCTCTGCAGCCATTCCTAGTGCATGTAAGCATAACACTGAGAAATTTCTCTGTGAAGCCTTATAGCACTAACCTTAGATGCCTAGGATGTGCCAGGCCCACATGGGAGGTGCGCAAGGAACACAGGGAAGGAGGGAGTTATCTAAAATCTTGGGTGTTCCTGTTTCTGGCTTGTGAGAGCAGAGGGTAGGGGCAGGGCCTGGCTGTGCAGTCAGGGTGCTCTGAGCAACCCCTGCTCCACCATCTCCAAGTTGTGCCATCTGGGACAAGTCGCTAACCTCTCTGGGCCCCAGTTTCCTCATCTGTGAAATGGGGTCTGTCAGGCATTGCAAAGAGCTAAGGGTGCTTGCGTGGGAAGCAGGGCTTGGAAATAGCTTACAGCTTTGCTCCTGCCCTCCCCAGGGTCTGGCCTCTCCCCCGGAAAGCCGGCAGTACGAGAAGGGTCTGTGGCTGCGCAGTCTCTATCCCAGCAAACAGTGTGCACCTGAGCATGGAGTTGGAGCTTAGGGTGTGCGTGTGGCTTGGGGTGGATCCCCAGGGTCTGCGGGCCCCTGAGAGACAAGAGTCACAACCGAGGAGAGGACATGGCGGGAGGAGGGGAGATGCTTTTATTGTCTCAGTTTCCCCTTCTCAAGTAGGAGCAGAGGCCAGGTCTGGGGGCTCCACCCCCTCCCAGTCCCTGTTCCCAAGTTTGGACTGAGATCCCCACCTCTTATTTAAAATCCTCCCCGGGCAGCCCCAGTGGCGCAGCGGTTTGGCACCGCCTGCAGCCTAGGGTGTGATCCTAGAGACCTGGGATCGAGTCCCACATCGGGCTCCCTGCATGGAGCCTGCTTCTCCCTCTGCCTGTGTCTCTGCCTCTCTCTCTGTGTCTATGAATAAATAAATAAAATCTAAAAATAAATAAAATAAAATAAAATAAAATAAAATAAAATAAAATAAAATCCTCCCCAATTTCATCGAGGAGCTGCAGTGGGGGGCTCATGGGGCCCGGGGTCCTCACCTGAGGCCGTGGCGGCCGTCTCCTCGGCCAGGAGCCACTCCTTCTCCTGCTGCAGCCGCTGCAGCTCACGCTCATGGTGCCGCTGCAGCTCCTCCATCACCTGCTGGTGCGACGACTCCATCTCGGCCAGGCTGCGCTCACACGCCTCCTGTGGGCGGGAGGCCAGCTAGGTCCCGGTGCTGCCCCCACTGCCCAGGGAAGGTGGCCTGTGCCCAGCCCCAGACGGTGAGCCTCAGGGGCAAGACTGCCCCAGTCCGGCTGTCTCCACCTCTCCTCCCTGGAGTCTGGCTCCACGGGCCACACCTGCCCCTGCTCCCCCAATACACAAACCTCACCATGTCACTCTCCTGCTTCCAACCCTTCATAGGCTCCTCTCCCACGGGCTCAGGTCCCTGCTCCTGTGTCTGACCCTTGTGGCCTCACGCCAGGCCCTTTCCCACCAAGGAACTCTAGTTATGAAGAATGACTCATGGCATGTTCACAGCTCTGAGCTTAAGCTAAGGCTAAGCCCCTCTGCCTGGAATGTTCTTCTGCAACTTTCTCTTCCAGGGTAATAGACTTGGCCTGCAGTCCAGCTTAATGTCTTCCCTGCTCTGTTTCTGGACAGCCTCTCACCTGCCTCTGAAGGCTCTGCCTCTACCAGACTGTAAGTTCTCCAAAGACAGGGAAGACTTGGGCAGCCCGGGTGGCTCAGCAGTTTAGCGCCGCCTTCAGCCCAGGGCATGATCCTGGAGACCCAGGATCGAGTCTTGCATCAGGCTTCCTCCATGGAGCCTGCTTCTCCCTCTGCCTGTGTCTCTGCCTCTCTCTCTCTCTCCCTCTCTCTCCCCGTGTCTCTCATGAATAAATAAATAAAATCTTAAAAAAAAAAAAAAAAAGACAGGGAAGACTTGATCCAGCTCGGAGTCCCTGGGGACCCAGACCAGGGCCTGACATGTGGCAGGTGCTAAGCAAGTAAGCTAAAATTGATGACCTCACAAGCCTGTAGACTAGACTGGCAAGTCTTATTAAAATATTGACAACACGCACTGTTTGGGAGGGTCAGCTGGGACAGATGCGTGGAGGGCACCTGGGTGGCATCATCACATTGTTAGTAACCCCCCCTCCCATGACGTAGCAGAAAGTCACATGTGTACGAAGGAATGACCCCACAGAAAGTCACAAACACTCTTGGACAAGGGTATGCCCTACGGTAAGGCTGGTAACAGAGGGAAACAGGAACAACACTGAACAGAAGAGCCCTTAAATAAATGATGGGATCAAGCCTTACAAAGGTTACCTGCCCTCCTCCCCTCCACCACTGGCTGCTGGTAAAGGACAGAGCTGCCCACGTGAACTGCCGTGGAAAAGTGTCCTGAAAGTGAGGTCACCCAAGCTGGTCTCTGACATGTATGGTGCGATCCCACTCATGGAAACAAAACACAGAGCCACGCATCTGAGTACATGCATGTCGAACACAGAAAAGCGTATGGGAGGACACTGTGGGAGGCAGAGTAGTGGTGCCCAGAGATGCCCCGTCCTACTCCCTAGAACCTCTGAATGTCACCTTACACGGCAGTGGGGAATTGAGACCGCTCATCAGCTGACCCTAAAACAGAGACTATCCTGGATTATCCCCTGGGCCCAGTGGTCACGGGGTCCTCGGATGTGGAAGAGAAGGCAGGAGGGTAGAGAGGGAGAAGTGACCACAGAAGGTCAGTGCCCGGGAGTGAAGTGGTCAGGTTCTCCACCACGGGCTTGGAAGATGAATGATGGGGCCAGCTCAGGGATGCAGGTGGCCACAAGCTGCTGGAAAAGGCAAGGAAACGGGTCCCACCCAGAGCCCGAGGAAACAATCTGAGCCCAGCGAGACCCTGGTTAGGCTGCTCCCCTCCAAATCCATGAGATGATACATTCGTGTTATTTAAGGTTGTGGTGATCTGTTCCAATAGCAACAGGAAAGTCTAGAGATATGCTCCGATGGTGACCAAGGGGACCCCTGGGAGTGGGGGGCAGGGGAAGGAGAGCTCATGTGTTTATGTCTAACCTTTTGATTGGTTGAATTATTTTTGAAAATATATTTTTTATGTAATTAAATTTAAGATCACTAAAAAGGAAAGGGGAAGAGCCCTTGAAGAAATCGATATGGATATTCCCCCGATGCCATAGGGTACCTCACGGTGTGTGTGGGACAGACCCCCACCTCTCCAGCAGCCGCACCAGGGGGCTACAAGGACCAGTCTGGAGAAAGGGCCAGGGCTCTCAGGTCCAGGTGCTCTGAGTGGGGGAGGTAACGCCTGTCCCTTTGCATATGTCCTCTGGTCCCTCCAGTCAGAACAACAGGACATAGCTTTGGAGTTCCACACATCAGGTCCTGATCCTCCCTGTACCAGAATGAACAAGCCCCTTCCCCACTCTGAGCCTCAGTGTCCTCTTCTATAAAACAGACCTATAAGGCCAACCCATGAGGGTCCCTACGATAGGCCTACCTATAGAGATAGGAGTAACATGGGGTGGGGACTGCTGTCCTTACAGGGCCAGATGAGGCAGGCACACCCTGCAGCTAATAGGGGGTCCAGAGGCAGGACCCCTGGCCCATGAGAAAGGAGGAGCTCCTAGAAAGCCAAGTGCTGCTCTGTGACTGATCTTCCTGAGGGCCCAAGGTGTCCAGCAGTCACCTCAGTCACGGATCCAAGTAACTAATGAAATGCCTGTTACTCCCAATAACCTGCGGGGAGGCCAGATGAGCAATGGAAGCCCCAACGGGTAAAGCCCAAGGCCCCCCAGCTGCTGTCCTATGTGGCAAGGCCCACAAGCTGAAAGAGAGACGCCCACTGGATGCAGACACCAGGTTGGGGAATCCCTCTCCAGCTGTCACCTCTCCAGCGTCCACTGAATCCCCAGCCACCTCCTCCTGGGCCAAAGGGAGACCCGGATGGCTCAGCTCCTCTTTCTGGCGCCCTCCACACCTGAGGCCCCTCCTCCACCCCATCTGTTTCCTTATCATTCCCTTCTCACCCCCGGCCTCCCCAATTCTGTCTCCACCCCTGCCCACCTCAGCCTAACAGGGTGAAATGCTGACAGCCCTTTGTGAGCCCAGTGGCCCCATGGGGACCAAGAAGCCTGGACTGCAGACACATGGCTGCCTCCAGCTGGGAGGTCTCACCTCCTCTCTGGGGCTCAGTTTCCCCACCCATAAGCTGAGCAATCAGAGCAGTGCTTTTCAAACTTCATTTTAGTGACAAATCTTTTCCCAAAGGGAATCTAATGCAGGTTCTAACAGTAAAATAGGTAAGTGAGGCTGCTGAGATACTGGATACTGATGGCTGTGAACGGAGCCGTCCAGGGGCTCAGAGAACATTGTACAGGCTTCTGGACAGGGGGGTTTCTGAGGGGTGTCCCAGCTGCCTCTGGCCCTGGTGCTGGGCCTCACCCAGCCTGAAGATGTCCCACCCACTCCTTCTTCTGGCCTCAGGGAGCCTTTGACACAACCCTGCTCCCTCCCCGCTGTTCCTGCTCCGCTCCCCTCCCCTCCCCATGTCTGGTGACCCCAAAGCTAGACCCCCTCCTCCCACCCAGGTCCCAAGTCCCCTTGGCCCTGGTGTCCCTTCAGCTGAATGGCCCAGCCACCACTCAGCCACAGAGGGTTCCCTGGCCTTGCACAGTGGCCAGCCTCAGGGCCCTTGTGGCTGCCCCCGTCTTCCTCGGGCCCAGTAGCCCAGTCCTAACCTCTCCTCTCTGCACCGCCCCCCTGCAGCCCTTCCCTCTCCAACCACTGTCTGAGCTCTTGACCCCACCCCTGCCCCTCCCAAGCCCCCTCTGCCCCAACACCACCTTCCTGATGTCACCATCAGACCCCAAGTCTCCTCCGGGCTGTGGAATGAGATCCCGATTCCTTGGCTTGCTGGAGGTCTCCACCTACAGGCTTGCCACCTCCTGCCCCACCCTGTGCCCCCACCCCAAAACCAGTGCCTTCCTGGGCATGCCCCGCACAGCCACCTCCAGCCCTGGAACTTCTAGAAGGAAGCCCCTGCCCAGAGCCTAGGATCCCAGCATTCTTTTCTACTTCAGGCTATATGACGTGCTGACTGGAGGCAACCAACTGTCATATTTTTTTGCAATTTTGTGACATGATTATTAAGTGCAGCCATTTTAGAAGTTAAATTATATAAACTTACAATTAACTACAGCGAAAACAAAGGTTGATACTCAAAATTCATCACTTCTTAATTATTTCACTGCATTTTATTATTGTCTATGCTTTTGAGCTTTTGTTGTTGTTGTTTTTTTAATAGATTTTATTTTATTTTTAGGTAAACTCTACACCCAATGTGGAGCTGGAACTCACGATCCCAAGATCAAGTCACACACTCCACCAACTAAACCAGCCAGGCGCCCCTATGCTCTTGAGTTTATTTACATCTTCTGTATCTTGTAAGGTGGAAACGCTCTAGAATCCTATACACATATATCTTCCGATTCGGCGTTTAGGGACATCAGCTATGGTGGGGGTATTTATTTATACCATGGAAATTGGTAAACATCACAGATCAGGGCTTGATTTATTGTTTTGTTGACTGGGCTTAAGCAAGGGATGAGAAAATGCTAATAATGCAGATTCAACTTCCAAGTCTGCCAGATTTACAACCATCACATTGTAACTAGAACACAGACTTGAGAAAATACTCTAAAGAGAATATTCTCAAAAGAAAACTATTATCCGATTTGGCCAAAAGTTACTTGTGACATTGATCAAGTAAAGTTTTGACATATGTCTTCTCATTTTACTCATTAACATAAACCAAACTGTCAACCAATGTTCATGTTAGAACAATCCTTGCTTGTCAGTTAGCAGAGGATACAAGTATTTGGAAAAACCAGTGAAAGTATTCTGAGAAAACTCAATTAGCTATATACGAATTCACAATGAGAGTTACGTATTTTGTATTTGTACACTGTGTCCTAAACATCCCTTATAGCGTTAAAATTGACAGTAAACATACATAAGCATGTATGTGCTTAACATACACGTGTATTTTTCTGTCAAACTGTTTCCAGACATGGCCAAATGTCCCTGGAGGAACAAAATCAGCCCTAGTTGAAAACCACTGTCCCAGGCTGACCGTGGGTCCCCTGGGGGCCACTGGAAGGTCCCACATCCCACAAACCACCTGCTGTAGGGCCTTGGCCTGGCAGGCATGGGTGGGATTTCTCTGTGCTGAGGCAGTGACCCTGGCGGTCTGCCCGTCGGGGATCCCACTCCCCACTGGCTCTCCTTCCCCAGGATGGTGTGGGCAAAGGGATCCAAGTGCAGAGTGTCACATGGGGGCTCACACACAGGCTCTGAAGTTAGCCGGAACCGAACTCAAATCCCACCTCTGACATCTGGAGCTCAGTTGACCTCGGGCAAGTCACATAACCTCTCATAGCTCAGTGGCTTGTCTGTAAAATGGGCACAGTGGTCATGTCTACCTGCGGGGTACATTCAATGAGATGATGCATGTCAAATGCTTCACACGGGTTCTGCGACACTCCCAGAACATCAGCTGTTCTCTGAAACCACGGCAACCAGAAACCTGCCCGCAGCCCCCACAAATAGCCCCTCAGCCTCACCTGCGAGATGTAGCCCGGGGGGATGTGGCTGTCCTCCTGGGACCTGTGCGCACCCTGAGGAACCTCTCCTTGGAGACGCCACGCCTCCAGCTGGGCACGAAGAGACTGGACCTACAAAGGAAAGGGGGGGCAGGGCCATCAGTGGGAACCAGGAAGCCAGGAAGGGGTTGGTGGAAGGCAGGGAGGAGCTTTGGGTTTGAGCCGGGGAAGCAGCCCGTGGTGGAAATGCAGGCAAAGGGCCGTTCCAGCTGTTTCCTGGGTGGCCAGGTCAGTGACCCAGGAGAACTTTGTCCCAGAGAAGACTAAACAGGGTTGGGAGCAGGACACTGTGGTCACAGACATTTATCACATTATGTAGGTGGTCTGTGAGCCTCAGTTTCCCAGAAATATAACTGTGACAAGGTCTATCCTCTGAGACCATGAGCCTGCTCTGAGGATTACATGAGCCAATATAGGTAAAGAAGGCCTAGGATGAATATACAGAAGATGCTTAATAAGTGATCTCTCCCTCCTCTTCCCTTTTCTGTGGTTGCTGAGGACAAAACTAAGAAGGGGGGGGGGAATGCCCCAAAATGAGAAACACCAAGGTTCAGGAAAGAAGATTCCAGTTTGTAAGAGTCTGAGGTATCAGACAGTGAACCAGGGGTGAGCTCCCCATCACTTTATGCATGCAAGATAAATGCTGCAGGGTAACTGCAGGGATCGGAGGGGCACTGGCGGGGTGAGGGGGCTCCCAGGGGCCAGCTGCAATGCCTACCTCCTTCTCCAGGGCCTCGTGGCTGTCACCGGGAGGCCCCCGGCGCTCCCCGCGGCTTTGGTTGAGCAGGGCAGTGAGAGGCACCCGCTTGTTCTCCCGCAGGGGCAGCTTCTCCAGCTCCTGCCACTTCTTCTCAATCTCCTCACTGAGGCGGCTCTGCTGGTCCTCAGTCAGGGGGGCCCCCAGGCCCCGGCGTGGCCCCTCACCAGCTGCGGTCTCCACAGGCCTGCTGTCCGTGGCCTCAAACCACTTGCGTCGCTCTTCAGAGCGCTGGGCCAGGTCCCGCTCCAGCTCCTCCTGCTTGGCCGGCCGGTCAAGAGTGCGGGCTGGGGTGCGGGCCCGCTGCGGGGAGCCCTGGATCAGCGGGGAGAGCTCTACGTAGTCCAGGGACTGCCGCTGCCCGTCCGTCTTCCGCGGGCTGCCCCGACTGATGACCTCAGAGCACCCCCGCTGCTCCCCTGCCTTCAGGGAGCCCTTCTGGGTGCTGTAGCCATGCAGCGTGTTCTCCTTATTGCAGTCTGAGAGCCTAAAGTGCCAACAGAGCCTTGTCAGGCAGGCCCCTGCGCTCAGCCCCCAAACCAGCACTTCTGGACTGCCACCCCTGGGCCAGGGCCTGGGGACAGACCCCCGTGGAGGAAGCACAACCCAATCTACAGGTTAGAACTAGAGCTTCATCACTAACCATCCCAGGGCTAACACTTAGCAGCGCAGGGGCCAGGACTGCTGGCTTCCCTCTTTGGCCCCTAGTGACCCCCCATCTGTAACACGGGCCAACAGTACCTCTCACAGGATGGATGTGAGGACTAGGTGAGGGGATGTGTGTAAAGCAGCCAAAAGCCCTTTGCCAATGGTGATCAAAGTGTTATTACCAGAAGTGTAGTTTAAGGCAAGGTCCTGGGTTCAAGAGACTCACAGTGGAGTAGGGGAGATGCCCACGGCCACTGCTGATGCAGTGAGTTGACCTCTGGGTATAGAGCACAAACTGTGGCAGTCCTCCCCTTCCTCTGTTAGTAACAGCTACGTACATAGTTGCCTGGCCAAAAATACCCGCCAGCACCCATCCCAGCGGTGAGGCCATGTGACAATACTCTGCCCAATGGTGTGACAGGTGGCACCCTATGAAGCACCAGCCATGCCCTAGCCTGGCTCCTGGAGAACAGAGCCAGAGACAAAGGTGTGAGCTGTGGGCCGCAGAGCTGCCCCACCAGGTCTGGATCACACACCTCTGGATTGTTCTGGAGAGAGAAAGAAAGTTCTCCCGTATTTATGCCACTGTGTTTGGGGCTTCTTTGTTACAGCAGCTGAGCCTATAGACTAAATAAAAGTCCAGCTGCATAGTGCTTCAGAGTCCACAGAGGGCTTCCGCATACATCCCTCCCAGGAGGCAGACGTCATGCTCAGCATGACAGATGAGGGATCTGAAACTCAGACAAGAAAGTCACTGGCCTGAGGCTGAGCAGCCAGGGTATGGCCCAGTGAGGGAGGGGGGGCTCATGCTTGGGCCCCCCATCACCACACCCTTTCCTGCTGTGCACCTGCTGCAATTCCCATGCCCCCGGATGGCTAGGGTTTATACCGTGAGGGCACTGCTACCAGCTCATTCAGTCCTCCTACCCTCTACTCAAGGCCACCTCCAGGGGATGAGTTCCCCATCCAGACTACCTGACTACACCTTCTCCCTAACACAGGCTTAGACACAGCTCCCTCGGCTCACAGACAATCAGCCACCTAGCGGGGGCCTTTCACTCACTGGCACCTTCTCTAGAGTCTAACCCCCTCCCCCCCTTTCAGGATTGGGGGGATGGCAGTCAAACCTCAAATCCTCCATGTATTTTCGAGTGAGTGCCCAGAATGCTCATTGCCCTCTCTCCATTTTGTTGATGGAGAAACTGAGGCCCAGGAGGTACAGCCTCAGAGCCCTCAGCTGGTGTGCCTGAACCCCACTCAGGGAAGCCGGGCTAAGTGCTTCCCTCAAGGTTCCAGTCCAGCTTGGCACATACTTGGTGACATCCGGGGCAGAGGTGGGTCGCACGGTCTTCCGCAAAGCCTCGATCCAGTTCCGCCGGATACCCGAGGTCATGGCCGACAAGGTGTAGACAGCATCCTTGGTCTGCAAGTCCACCCCATGGGCAGGTTGCCACGTGGCCAGTCCCCACCCGCCACCCTGTGTCCACTGTTCACCCTGGAAGGATGGCTCTTTCCCCCTGGGGAGGGAACCTAAGGTCCTGCCCCTAGGGATGAGCAGAGGGTAGAAAAGCTCCCCTCTGTCAGCTGGTTCCAAGATCTCCCCAACATCCCACCCGCCCCATGATATCTGTGGTCTCCCCAGATAGGCTAGGTGTTGGCAGCAGAGTGTCTGACTGGCTCTGAGGACAGGGCCTCCAGGTAAATGAGTGCTTGGAGCCAGTCACGAAGCCCATCACCCGGATGACGCCACCCCAGAGGCATGGAGGCTCACGTGGATCTGGAAGCCATAGTTGCGCTGCACTGCGTACTCAGTGACATCCGTACAGGAGCGCAGGTCGATCTCACCGTCCAGCTCATCGGCCTGCAGCAGGAAGGCCCATGATGATCCACGTCTTCCACTTCCCCCACCCCTGGCCCCCTGATCCCCTTCCAGGGCCCCCCAGCACCTGATGAGCCTTCCCACTCTGTCTCACCTCCTCAGCGGTAGAGTCCCTGTAGTATTTAAGGCTTGAATCTGTCAGCACAAACCAATGCTTCTTCCACTGTGAAGGAGAGGTGGCTGTGAGCAGGGGAGGGGGGCTGTGGGCAGGGCAGAATGAAAGGGCATGTGTGCAGGGGACAGAGCAGAGGTGGAACTCCAGATCTGAAGCCTGGCTCCTCCAGGGGCAGCATCTGTGAAATGACTTGACCACACCTTCCCTTTCCTTCTGGGAGCTTCTCTGATTTGGTGACAGTCCCATACCTCTCCTGACCCTCTCCATTGAGATTATCCCTCTGGTGCAGACCAGGAAGGGGTTGTGACCTGTGCAAGGTCATTTGCCTAGTAAGTCAGGGAACAGAACCTTGCACTTGTCTTTTTCCCCATGCCCCTCTGGACCACCTCAGTAGCCAAGGACAAGTCCCAGAGTAGGACTGGAAGGTGGCCTGGGGGAGGTGTCTGAGCACTGGTCCTACTCTGCTTCTTGAGCTGGGTGCTGCTTACACACGTGTCCAGCTTGTGAGAGTATGTTATCTGCACATTTATGATTTGGGCACCTTTCCACAGTGCCTCTCTGCTCCAGCTGGGGTTAGGTTGGCAGGCCACAGAGGGGAGGGGAAGGAATGGGAGGGGAGGGGACCAGAACAGCTTGATATTAAATATGCCAAGCTCAGCCCACCTCTGGGCTTCTGGCCATTCACTGGAATGCCAGTCAAGGTCCACCTACTCGCAGGGTCAGCACATGCCACCCAGTCCTCAGCCCTCCTGGGGCTCCCCTATCACCAAATTCTATCCACATTGTTATTTCAAATACTTAGTTTTCTTTTCTCAAGAAGATGGCAAGTTTTCAAGGATGCGCCAGGATGACACTTTTGAATTCTTTCCATATGGCCTCCCCTAAGAAATAGGGTTTAGCATCCAAGAGACCTGGTTATGATGATTTTATCCCTTGCTAGCTATGTTCCTTCAATCAAGTATCTCCACCTCTCTGAGCTTCACTCTTCTGACCTGTAGGGCTAATAAGAAGTCCCTAAGTCTTCTTGTGAGCTTAGAAGTATCTATCCCTCCCTCGTATGTCTCTTATGGCACTTAGCATAGGGCCAAGCACTAAGTTACTCGGGATTGTCCTAGGCATGGCCCGAGTTCCCACTCAGGACCTCAACTGTCCCTCTACAAAGCAGGGCAGGGTCTCTGGGCCACATGGTCTCTTTGGCCCTTTCAGCCTAATCTATGACTGAGATAGGAGCCAGTGAGTTCCACGGTCTTAGGCAGCCCAAGTTCTAGGCCTGGGACTACCACAGGGGCTACCAGCCCTGGAAAAGATGGAAGCTTTGTGGGCTTGTCCCCTGTCTGCACCAATGGGTTGGGCTGGCTGAGCTCCCAGGGCCCTTCCAGCTTGGACATTCCAAAACCCTGTGAAAGAAGATGAGTAGCGGCCAGTTCTGGGTGGGGCCCATAATCTCTGCCCTCCAGAGACCCTGGGTGGGGAGGTTGGGAAGGGTCACTGGCAGGGTGCCAGGCCTTGTGTGAGCCTGGAGCACAGCCACCAGAGGACCAGCGAGCAGGCAACAGGAACGGAAGGCTGTGGGCTGGAGGGAATAAAACATGTGGGTAGGAAACACAATGAGATTCCCTTTGGCTCGGAGCCCTCCCCGGCATGCGGGCTGCACACAGACCCGAGCCACGGGCGCATGCAGGACAGGGGCGGGGAGCCGTCCCCTCCCAGGCTGAGTGGGCAGGAAGCCAGCTCCAGCTCCCAGACTCCATCCAGCCTGGCAGCTGAAAGGGCAGAGCCAGCGAGAGGTCGATGCCCTTCCTGATTCTAAGGATGGATGCATCAGAGAAAGGGAAAGGTTATTAGCTGAGCTCTGGCAGGGATCCTATGCTGCTTGACCTCCCTGACCCTGTTGTCCACCCTGGAAAGAATCATTATCCATCATGCCCATTCCATAGATGTGGGTCCTAAGGCCAGAGGAAGCTGTGACCTGACCAGTGGAGCCCAGGTTGGTGAGACTCCAAAGCCTGTGCTCTGAGGCCCACTTCTGGGGGGAGGGAGAGGTGCCTGCATGGCTGAGTCTTTGAGAATCTGTAACGTCTCAGGCCAGTTGATCTCTCTGAGCCCTTCCACCCCACACCCTCAGAACCAGCCAGGGTTGTCAAAGGTGAGAGGGCCAAGGGACTCTTGGCGACAGGAGCAAATGGGGGACAGGGAGTGAGGGGCTAGGAGGCCTCTACTCCTGCTGCCCTTTACATCTGCAGACTGTCCCAGCAGCCTCTGCCTTCCCATCTCCATAGTCCAAGGCCCTCTCCAACTGCACAAAAAACACCCGCCCTCAGGGTGCCCACTCAGGCCCCTCCACCCATAGGCCAGGCTCTCTAGAAGCCTAGACAAGCCATGGAAGCAGCTAAGCCTGCTGGGCTGCCCCCAGGGACCTGCTGGAGGCACTGAAACTGCCTAGGCCGACCCCTCCCTTCTCATTGCAGCCCTCCTACCTCTCCAGGCTCGTCCAAGATCGACATCCATCCCTTCTTGAAGTTGAGCAGATCGGGCTGTGGGAAGATGAGGAGGCAGATGATTTAGGCCTGGTGGAGGACCAACCAGGGCTGGGGAGGAGGGAGTGTTGCATCCATTCTTCCCCTGAGTCCTGTGAGACTGAGGTCCTGGGAAACCAGGAGGGGGGCGCTGAGGGCCCAGGTAACCCCCAAATCCAGGTAGTTTCCCCGGCCAGGGAGGCAGCCTTGGCCCCTTTCCCCAACAACCTGAGAGCCAAGAGCGATGGTAGGCAGGATGACTGGCACATCCCCATCAATATCAGGCTCCCCTTCCCACCAGCCTACCTCCTCACTGAAGAGTAGGAGTGAGGGCCCAGAAGAACCCTGCCTATCAAGACCCCGAGAGCTCTAAGAACAGTCTGGACCAGCAGGGCTGAGCAAACTGTCCAGTTCCTCTCACTGACAAGGCCAGGAGACCCACCAGGAGAATATCTTAATGCCCTGCTCATCCCCCGCTCACTGATCTTCCTGTGTTCTGACAAGCTCTGCCCTTTTTGTGTCTCCTGCAGACCCTGAAAGATGGAGCCAGGCCCAGGCCAGCGTCAGGGATTCTCTGGTTCCCTCCAGATCTCTGGGAGGGCCAGGAAGATGGCACCTCAGTGTCATCAAGCCCTACCTGCTGGGTGCTGCCCAGTGGGACATGGCCAGGAGGTCTGGGGGCTCCCAGCTGCAGCATGGCCCACGGAGGCCTGTGAGCTAGATACCCCCACCTGGGCCTAGAGGAAGCAGCAGCTCAGCCAGGCATTTTCTCCGGCCGTGCCCATCCGGTGGGCTCCAACCACCACACCCTCCCAGCCCACTGACAAGACTTCTCTCTTGTCTAAGTGCTGCTCCCTTCAGTAGTGTCAGCTTCTGCCCACTGGCAGGGAGGAGAGTGGGGCGGGCCAGGCTATGGGCAGAGGAGGCAGCCACCTGTTGCCATGGCTCTGAGCCCACCTATCAGCACCAGCATCACAACCTCACCAGGCCAAGGTGTCTGGTTGCGTGGAAGGAGCCTGCAGCATGGCCCAGTGGGGTAGGCAGCAGAGACAGCAGCTGGAAATCGGAGCCACCTGACCTGGCCACCTCCCCTGACCCACCTGCCACCCCGTTCTCCTCTTCCTCAGGTAGAGGAAGTGGCTTAAGAGGGGCTTGGGCCAGCAGCCCCACCCTTGCGGGGCAGCCCCTCCTGCATACCTGTCTGAGGGAGAGGACAGGGCTCCATTCAGAGCTGGGAAACCCCCGGGGCTGTGTTTGCCCCGTGTCTCTCCATTCTCCCCTACCCTGCTCTCCACAAGTGCCAGAGGCTGCTTAGGGTGGTCTCAAGCTAAGACCAAAGACTGGCAGCTACACTCAGAGCCACCAAATCACCAGGGTGACCTCCATTCAGACCGGAACCTCCAGTGAGGAACCTAGAGCCCCGGAACCCCCCAGGGCCTGGCGCGCTGTGACTAGGCCTCGACAAAAACCTGCTGAATAAATATTACCCTCGTTTACCTTCCTGGTCTAAATTCCCATGCTCTGGGGGCAGTCGCCACCCCCCACTCCCCCGGCCTGGAGAAGCCAGGCTACCTGGGATGGCCCGCAGAGCTGGCATCAGGGGAAAGCTCCTGGGAAGGTACGAGCAGATGACCCAGAGCCCATCAGACTGGGCCGGGGCCGGGAGATCAGTGATCAGCCATAGGCTTCCAGGGGTGAGCGAGGGCTCCCTGGCTAGAATGGCAAGCAGGGACCCCCAAAGGCTGCCTGGGAAGCAGAGGGTGGGGAGGGGGCAGTGTGGGAGGGTGCATCACATCCCCTCCCTAAGCCCTGGCTGCCTAATGTGGCAAATGATGGGGGGACAGTCCTGCTCTCCCCCGAGCTTTGTGAGAGGACTGAATGAGCTCCACACGGAGAAGCTCAGTGACCTTCTGGAAGCTGGTACAAACATACCACACGCATGTTGGGTGCTAAATGGCCCAGACACCTTGTGGGGAGGAGGCTGCCAATGGGAGATTTCAAATCCGCTGGCAGGGAAGGTCCTATGGTACCCTGGGAACCCCTGTTTGGGGTCAAACGATCTGGAGCCTAAACCTCTCATGCTGTTCCTTCCCACATGGCCTCTTCGGGCCCAGGCACCCTTCCTCCATCTGAGGAAGCTCACATTCCCTGAGGAAGCTCCCACAACCTGCCCTCTCCTCCCTTTGGTCATGGCCACAGGTCAGTACTGCCTCCCACCTGCCTGGACCACTGACACGGCCGCCCCTAAGCACACTCTTGGCAGGTGGACCCCCTCAAAAAGGCCTAGTGTCACAAGTCTGCTTCAAACCTCCAGGGATGGCTCCAAGTGGCTTCTAAACAAGGTCCGGCTGCCTGATGGCACAAAAGCCTCAGCTCACCCTTCCAGCCTGGCCTCCCTCTTGCACAGAGAACCCCATTTTTATATCACCACATATGCTCTCTGATCCTCAACATATCAGGACCCCCGGCCTTCCACATGGGCTCATGTCTTCTGCTTAAATACCAGGCTTCCTCCTCCTTCGTGAACCAGGCAAATCCCTACTCATGCCCTAAGGCCCAATTGCCACCTCCGAGGCCCCTTTCCCAGTACACAGCACACGCCATGCCAGCTGCTCTCCCACAGCCTCTGCTGCATTTGTGATTATCTTAAAGCCATTCACTTATCCCTCACAGGATAGAGGAGAAGCAACTCGGAGTTAGAGACATGCGCTGACCCCCTCCAGGACCAGGGGCTAAGAGAATGTGTGCTGAAAAACAAATTTTTTTTTTTTTTAAAGCACCAGCCACTGCTTTAGGCCAGGAAATCAGCTGCAAACAGGAGATGTGGCCCCTGCCCTGGTGGAACTCAGGAAACAGACAATAAACAAGTGGACAGGTATATAATTTGATGCCAGGCAGTGGCTGGGGAAGGAGGCTCCAAGGGCAGGGCTGTGTGGGGCCACGGCAAAAGGAGGTGGGGCAGATTGGGACTCCAGGCCCGGCTTCCTGAAGCCTTCAGGCATTTACCTGTTCATGGCAACTTTACCACTTGCTCCCTGTAGATCTCTGAGCTCAGGGCTGGAGGCCAGGAGAGGGGAAAAGGATGTGGAGAAGGTACAGGAGGGACAGCAGGCTAGGGCAGGCTCAGGCATGAAGCAACCACGATGAACCCAGCAAACATTGTCATTGGTGACCATGAGCCTCTGCCCTGCTCCAAAACCTTTCTTGGCTCCCCAGTGCCCCTGACCAAAGCCCAAACTGCTTCTCCTGGCCTGCGAGGCCTTCCTTTCCAGGTCCCTTTTGTATGTTCTCAGCTTTCCCCAAACATGACCAGGATGTGTTTGTCTACAGTGTTCCCTCCCCAGTTCATTTCCACCTGACAAAGTCTGACAATCAATCACAGGAGGGTGTCTTCCTTTGGAAGCCCCCATCACCACCACAGGGATATGCTGTCCCTCCTCCAAGTGCTCCCACAGGCTTCCCGGAGCAGCCTCACCCCTGTTCACCACGGGCTTCCTCAAGAGAGGCAACAGTGTACATTTCTTATTTAGCCCCCGAGAGAAAAATCGGACAGATCTAGATCCAAATGCTGGCTCAGCCCTGGGGCCATGTTACTTCCTCTCTACACCTCAGTGTTCTCATCTGTTGGATGGGAAGCTATAATCATCCTTAAAGGATCAACTCTGCTAACGTGAAAGCACCCAGTTCGAGATCTGGCAGGCACCCAGTAGGCAATGCAACCACCCTCCCCCTGGGCTTGGGGGCCTGGGTGGGTGGCCAGGACACTGACTCAGCTCCTCCCCCAACATCCCTCTCCGCTCCCTGACCAAAGGGAGGCTGCTGACGACAGGAAGAGCCAGCAGGGAGGTGGCAGGATGTGCGGAGGCCGAGGAAGTCCAAGCAGCGGCCCGGTCATCACACTCACGGGGGCAGGGGCCCTTAGGGCCAACCAGGGGCAGCCCAGCCCACTTCTCCTCAGGGTCTCCACTAGCTGAGGGAAGGGACGTGCGCATGCGCAAACCCTCCCCGCTCAACTCCATCACACCCCCCCGCCCCCCCCCCCCCCCCGGGCTGTCAGAGCCTCCCCAAGGCACTCGCCAGAAACCAAAAGCAGCCCCGCCCCTCCTTTCCAGAACATCACGGTCAAGGGGCCAGACTGACCTGAAAAGAAGCTACTCCTTCCTCTACGCTCAGGGCAACCCCGGGCCACTCACCCCCGTCCCTCCCCAAGCCTCAGTTTATCCAGCTGTGAAATGGGAATAATGGTGACCTCAGCCGTGAGGCCCGATACGATCATTGAGGCACAGGTACCGACGTGACTTGGGGAGTGTCCATCCCCCAGAGCACGACAACGCTCTGCCCCTCTGTGCCCCACCTCACTCGCGGGCTTGCCCCCGCCGAGGCCCCAGCGCCGCCGCCAAGTGGCAAGCCCGGCGGGGCAGGGCATCGCGCCGCTCCAGAAGTCCCAGCGGGGCTCCCGGACAGGGCGGGGCGGCGGGGCGGGCGGGGCGGCCCCTCACCCCCCGGCCTCGGGCCGGCGCCCACGCGGGGAGGCAGCCGTCCCAGCGCTGGGTCTGCGCGCCCCTTCCGAGCCGGGACGGCGTCTCTGCGGCCCAGGCGCGACCCCACGCCGCGGCCGGGCCCGTCCTCGCTCCCGCACTGCCCGGAGCCCTGGGAGTCTGGCAGCGTCGGGTCAGGTCTTCCCCGGGGGGCTGAGGGCAGGTAGGAGGCGGCCGCCCGGAGTGTCCGCGACCCGTCCCGCAAAGGTGGCGGCGGAGCGGAGGGCTGCCGGGGCCCGGAGCCCGCTTTCCTCGGGGTCGCCCTGGCCCCCCGCCCGGGAAGGGGAGGGGAGGCTGCGGCCAGCGGAGGCAGGCCGGCCGGGGGCGCCGGGCTCGCCCCGTCTTCCGGCCGAGACCTCCTCCGCGCCCGCCTCCGCCTCCGCCTCCGCCTCCGCCTCCGCCTCCGGGAGGCGAGGGGTGCCCCGGCGGGAGCGGCCGGGCGGAGGGGCGGCCCGGCGGAGGGGCACTCACCGTCATGGCGGCGCCCCGGGGCGGCGGGAGCAGGACGCAGGAAGGTGGAAGGGGCTCTCGGGCCGGGCCCAGCAGCGCGGGAACCCCGCCGCCGCCGCCGCCGCCGCCGCCCCCGCTCGGCCGCCCGCCGCCGCTCCGGCCCTGCCCTTCCCCGGCGCTGCCCCGGCCCCTTCCATCCGCCCATAAAACTTTTTTTTTTTTTTCAAACTTCCTGGGAGGACCCGGGAGGGCCAATGGGCGGCGGGGAAGCCCGGACAAACAGCGGCGGGGGCGCGGGCGGACCAATGGGAGCACGGGCCGGGCCGGGGGGCGGGGCCTGCCGCGCCGGGACGGGCGCGAGGGCGGCGGGCGCGGGCGGCGGGCGCGGGGCGGCGGATGGGGCGGAGGGAGCCGCGCGGGGCCGCGGCCGCCGGCGCTGGCAGGAAGGCGGGGCCGGGCGTGCAGGGGACTCGTCCGGCCGCGGCGCGGGGCTGCACGGCGGGGGCAGCGGGGGCGGCGCCCAGTCGCCCTGCCTAGGGCTCCCGCGAGCCGCCGGACCGAGCCGGTGTCCTGCCTCCGCTCCACGGGGCCGTGGGCGACTCGCCGAGCCCCGCTCTTACCTGTGCAACCTGACTTCGGCCTCGCCACAGACCTGACCGGGAGGTGTCCCTGTCCCCATGTTACTGATGAGAAAACAGGCTCAGAGAGGTGAGCCGACTTGCCCAAAGTCACACAGTAAGAAGGGGCGGGGATTCCCAGCGGGGAATGCAAGCGCACGGTGAGCTCAGGGAAGGTAGGGCGTTCCCCAGGCGGCCCCTCCTCACAAGCGGGTCTTTCTGGGCCTAAGAACCCCTTTTTGGGTTCTTGGGGGTGGGCGTACACCTGATTCCCACATTCTCAGCACTTGGCAGTTTGTAAGAGGCCTCTTGCCTGCGGGAGCTCCTCTGAGCCTTGCAGCACAGAAGGGACCTTGATGGAATTTGTTGAAAATGTGGTGGAAGCTTGTGCGGCATTGTGGTTCAAACCCTGTTAACTTTAAGCACAGTGCTTAACCTTTCTGGGCCTCACCCTCTGTAAAAGGGGATCCTTCCTGCTCTTATCTCACGGTGTTCCTGTAAGGATTCAGTGTTAAGTGCCGTCCCTGGGTGGGGGGCAGGGGAGCTGGGAATAACTGCCACTCCAATTTTCTGTCATCTCAGTTTGGGGTTCAAATATTATTGCGGTCATAACCATAATGACTCCCCCCATTTCACAGACAAAGAAACAGAGGCCCAGGGACCTGAAGTTCTTTCCGGTGTTTCCCACTGGACCGCGTCTTCTCCACCCTGAGGAATGAGGCCAAGAACAAGCCTATCTTCCTTTAGACACTGGCCTTCCTGCCTTCGTGTGCCCTACCCCTGAACCTCACTCAGGCATTTGGTCCTTGATAGAGTGAGTGAATAAACAGAAGACCTCACCTACCACCAGTGCCCTGTCCCAGTGGCCCCTGACAGCACCAGCCTCCTTACTGCTTTCCTGGCCTCTGGGACTCAGCTAGTAATACCCTTAACCCAGGGATCAGATCACTCTCCTGCTCAAAGTTCAACACCTCCCCCGTGCTAATAGATCAGCTCTGCATTCTTGTTCCAGGCTGTCAGCATCCATCATAATCTGACCCCTGCCTGTTGTCCTCCATCACCACACACACACACACACACACACACACACACACACACACACACACATTTTATGTGCTAGGGATGCGTCACACTGAGCAACTGGGAATTCCCAGATTAAGCCAGGTCCTTTGTACCTGAAATGGGACTACACTTGTGGTTCTCTGAAACACTCCATTTCCTGTTCTTTGTGCCCCCCCACACACACACACTCCCTTCTGTCCCCCACCCCTTCCTCCCCTCTCTGCAAATGTTTGTTTTGCCTGGAAAATTTCACCTGGCTCTCCAGGTCTCTCAGTCCAAAAGGAGCCAAAGTGCCCCCAGCTCAGAGTGAGAATCTCCTCGCGCAGGGCTCCCTGCATCGGACATTCAGCCACTAAAGTGATGACCACACTGTGTTCTCATCAGTTACATGTCAGTGGCCTCACCAAATCGAGTTTCCTGTGGGCTGAGCCTGTATCTTGGAGGCCAGCCCAGGGCCCCAGTGCATAGTAGGTCCTCAGTAAACATCGGTCCAGGGAAGGCATGCACAAATGGAGGGATGGGTCCCTTACCACAGCTTGTCCCTAGTAGGGCGGAGCTAGTACAGACCCAGGAATCCAGGGCCACCAAACTCCGGGGTTATCCACGTCAAACTGCTACTCTATTGAGGAGAACACCATGAGGCTCAGAAAGGGTGACGATGGCCCAAAGCCATGCACATTGGTGACAGACAGGACTCAAGCCTAGGGTTCCTGACTCTTGACCTTGGACCAGTTTCACTCTCCAACGCAAGAGATGTTTGAAGCTGCTCTAAGTGTCTGGGAGGCCCCGCTGGCAGTTCCATTCCCAGCTCCTGAGTTTCCTCTCTCCCAGATGAGAGAGAAAACGGCTGCCAACTCAGCCTCCATGGCCACATTTGTCTAATGGGGAAAAATCTGTGGAGATTCTCTGCAAGCAGGGCTTGGAGCTCAGGATGCACAGAGGTGGGAGGGCTCCGCAGTCAGCCCAAGCAGGGTTCGAATCTCAGCTCTGCCCCTGGTGTGACCTAGAACAAGTGGCTTTTCTCCTCCCCGGGTTTCACTTTCTCATCTGTAAAATGGACAATACACACTGTACTTAGTATGCCTGGTGCTGAGGGTTAAATGAGCTCAGGCATGTCACTCACTGAACATGGAGCTGAGCAAAAGGAGATGCCCATTGGTTCTCATCACCAGCACCATTATCCCAGAGTCCTTCCCCCTGTTTCTGTGCCCTTCTCTCTGCCAGCGACTTACCTGCTCCCTCCTGCCAGACCTGCTGCACGTTGGCAACCTTTACTTAGTGTGATAAGGTAATTCCCGCCCAGGGTTTGAAGGTACCACCCTGCCCAGATAACCTTGTTTGTCTGATCACCCTAGTGCCTTAACCCCCAAAAGCAGCAGAGAGGAAATCATAAGGTGGCAGGGAAAGTTAGTGTTTAGATGCTCCCCCCACCCCCCCCGCCCACCCTTGCACCTCTGTGCATCCTGAGCAACCTGCTCTCTGCAGCCCTGAGAGTCACTATAGACTTTTCCCCATTACACAGATGTGGCCCTTGAGGCTTGGTGGGGCGGGGGTGGAGGGGTTAGCTGCAACCATTCTCCCATCTGGGAACCAGGAAAATCACAAGAGGCTAGCTCCTCTAAACCCCATCTGTGCAACTTGAACAAGTCAGCTCACCTCTCTGAGCCTCGGTCTTCTCATCCACAAAATGGGTTGTACTGTCCCTAATGTGCCCAGCCTAGTGCTGGACCCAGGCCCAAAGAGAGTGCAAGAGTCAGCCTGTCACTAAGAGAAGGGACCCTACGAGCCAGCCAGTGGCCCCTGGAGAGGCCAGGGCCCTTGCCTCTGCTGTGAAGGGGGCAGGAGGGAGAGAGTCATAGCTGCCTCCCTTCTCTGCCCTTGAGGAAACCCTGAACCAGAGGCCTGAGTGTTTACAGCCCTCACTGGGCAGGGAGTAGGTTACGTAATGCCAGATGTTTGTGAAACTGGCTCAGGCCCAGGTCTGAGACACACTGAGCCCCCCGCAGGCCATCTCTCTCTCCCTTCCCCCCAACCTGGCTCCCCTTGGCTTTTTGGGAGCCATGTAGATTATTCAGTCTCCCCCCTCACCCCAAAAACTGAAAACAGCCCCAGCCCTGTCCTGGGGGTGGGAAATCCCAGCCACTTGCAGAGACCATGGGGCCCTGAGGACCCTGCCTCTATCTCTCCTTTCTTGTATGGGAGCCCCAAATCCCCTCCCAGCCTCCACTCTCCCTCCTTTGAACTGACACCAACATCCTACCTCCCCTCCCCCTCTCTCCCACCCTTATCCCTCCCACCCTGCTGGAGCCAGCCTACCCTTTGCCACCTGAGGACCCCCAGAGACAGCAGGAACGGATTGAACAGCGTGGGACGGTCCCCGGGCATCCGCCATGAGGTCACCAGTCGGCCCTTGAGTGGGCTCCCAGCCTTGCCCTCCGCTGGCCTCTTGTCTGCCTGTCAAACAGGGTCCAGTGTTGGCCCCCACGTCCCTTTGGTGGGATGGGGGGGGCCTGACTACAGTCTCCCCTGCCTATTCTGTAATGCCCACCTCAGAGGCCCAGGGTTCCTACCTTTCTTGTCTCACAGAGCTGCCAAGAAAAGAGCTTGTTAACTCATTCACACTACGGGGTGTTTGGCTGATAGGGCTCTTGGGGCTCAGCACCTTTGGAGACATGCACCATCCTAAAGTCAAACTGCCAGTGGCCAGGAGGAGGGCCGTGCAGGCCCCAGACGTGTGTTCAGCCTGCATAGGGTTTTCAGATAATGTGCATTAGGTCCCAATGTTAGAGAATCAAGAGATTAGGGGCAGCCCAGGTGGCTCAGCGGTTTAGCGCCACCTTTGGCCCAGGTCGTGGTCCTGGAGACCTGGGATTGAGTCCCATGTCGGGCACCTTGCAATGGAGCCTGCTTCTCCCTCTGCCTGTATATCTACCTCAGTGTGTGTGTGTGTGTGTGTGTCTCTCATGAATAAATAAATGAAATTAAAAAAGAAAAAAGAATCAAGACATTAACATATAACTGCCTATTTCCAGTTTCTCATGAAATACCTAAAGATGTGGAAACTCTGAGTCCACTTCCCCATGGCAACAACCCGTCTGGCACCAAGGGGTCACATAAGTGCCCCCACCTGCCTTGCTCTCTCCCCTTAATGAAAGGAATGAATCACAGACCTCTGCGGTCACGCCTGGCAGAGCCCTCATATGCACCCCCTTTGCAGTCATCTTTGTTTGGGAGACAGGCCCCAGCAAAGCAGAGACATTTACCCAAAGTGCCATAAGCAGCTTACAGCCAGAGAGGTAGGACAGAGTTGCAGGGGTCCCCACTCTCCAGAATCCAGAGAGCATCTGGCAGTGGAACGGAAAGCGTCAAAGTATGGGTCCAGCAAGGCTTTGGGGGAAGGACTGCTCCCCACCCAGCCTCCACCTTCCCCAGCACAGCCCTGGCCACCGGACCAGGAGCCCCATGTGCTCCAATTTACTTCTGGCCCACACCCAGGCATACAGAAGGTTCTGACTAAGTATATGTGAATGAATGAATGAATGAATGAATGAATGAATGAATGAATGAATGAACGGACAAGCAAAAGAGGCAGTCATCAGCTCTGTCCAATCCAGGTTGCCTGGAAATGGATTGAGAGGTTTCGTGTTGGTGGGGATTAGAGGGGGACCCCCTATACTGCTCTTGCTTTTTGGTTCACAAAACTCTGGCCCCAGGAAGTATGAAGAAATAACCCAGAAAGAGGAAGAGCAAAGTTGCCAGAGTCCCTGTGAGAGCTGGAAGTGCCTTTAGTGGCCGGTCCTCTGTCCCCTCCCATTTCACAGACAGGAAGACAGGTCACCGAGCAGTGAGAGTCCTGCTGCCATTGTGGGAGGCTACGCATGGGAATTAGGACAGGGCCAGGAAGCCACGCCCAGGCTGCAGAGGGACCAGGGTCCAGAGCCCCAGGTCCTAGTTGGAGGTCAGCAGCTGCCTGGCGGTGTGATCTGGAATGACTCCCTTCCTCATCTGCATAGTGCCAGTCTGGGCAGAACCCACCCCCGGACCACCTCCGATTAGCAGCAGGGCCAGGCCGGGGGTTCCAGGCAGCCAGACAGATGTCCACCACCCCCCCAGCTTGACTTCTCAGGCGGCAGCACCGAAATAGCAGAACAAGAGCAGGACGAGGAAAGCACAGCCCCAAGCAGCCGGTCTCCTTCTCCTTGCCTCCCGCTGCCCGGGCTGTCAGCTCTGACCTCACCTCTCTGGAGGCCGAGGGTGATGAGAACAGTCTGTTTGGCAGGTTGTGGGGAGGGGCGGGGCCGGCAATGTGCTCCAGCTGCAGCCGGGCCTCCCAGCAGCCTCACTGGGTCCCACCCCCCACCCCTCCCGCACACATCTCTCCCGCCCAGGACCCTGGAGACCATCCAGGCTCAGCTGACAGCAGCACCTCCTCGGCAGTTCTCTGGCTCCAGCTCCTGGAATCTCTACCCCTTCTCCCTGCCTGGCCAGCCCTCCAGAACCAGAAGGACCTTGCCTCCAGACACCATCAGGGTCAAACTGCCATTTACCCAGAAAAGGGGAGTGAATTTTCAGGGCATCCTAACAAGTTAAAAGCAGAGCCCTGGGCTTTGGACCCCAGGATCATTTACCTACCCAGGTCCCCAAGCCAGAGGTGGCTCTGCTGCCCAGCTCCTCTGGAGGCCCTCCTCTCAAGGCCCTACCATGCACACAGATAGCCCCATGGCAGAGCCAACCCTGGTCTGGACGACCCTAGAGCTCATCAGAGGACCTCAGCCCACATCCAACCTGATTTCCCTTCCCTTCACCGCCCTATGTGCCCACACCCATGACCCAACTACCGAGTCTGCCTGCTTCTGGTCGGTCAGTGAGTCTTGGCCTTTGCTTGGTTCTGACTCCTCAGGCTCCTCTGATTGTAACTGGAGATAAGAAAGAACAGAGCTTAGCCCTTGGGTTATTCCCCGGGTTCCATTCATGTTTCCACCTTCTTAACCATCCGTTCATCATCCATCCATCCAACAACCATTTAGCATCCAACATCAAAAGATCCAAGTATTATCCATCCAACCAACCAATATCTGCCCTACATTATCCACTCACTAACCTACCCAATATCCATCATCTCACACATCCATTCTCTATTCATCATCTATCCATCCATCCAACATCCATGTAGCCTTTCTCAGTCCATCCAACATCCATTCATCCATCATCCTTCTACTCATCCTTCCAATATTCTTTCACCACCCATCATTCATAGTCCACATTTATCCTTCCACACACTAACAATCCATCCATATTCTAATCATATTCATCCATCCATCAGTTCATCACCCCATCTGGCATCTAAGCAACATCATCTATCTAACATCCATCATCTGTTCCACCATCATCCATCTGACTTTCCACCCAACTTTTTATCATTTATCATATTTATCTATTTATCTGGCCATCACCCACTAACACATCCAATGCCCATCATGCACCCGTCATCTACCCACTGACCCACCCATCCTCCATTTGTTTCTTGCATGCATTCAAGCATTCATAAATTCACTGTTCAATCATCTGTTGAGCTGAACCCCTCCTTTGTGTCACGCCCTGAGCCAGGAGCCAGAAGTGCAGAGATAAAGTAGGTGCAGCTCCTGCCCCCATGGAGCTCATCTTTCTTAGGGGAAAATGACAACTGAGTGTGGCCAGATGGAGGGTAGCAGAACCACCGAGCCTAGAAGGGAAATATTACCAAAGTAGGGGTGGGGTGAGTATTCAGGGAAGGTATCTCAGAACAGGGCACCTGGCCTAAGACTTGAACAATAAGTGGTGGGTGAAGAGGGAAGGGAGGAGCATCTTAAGCAATGGGAAAGGCACATGCAAAGGCTGGCAATGCGCCCACAGAACTCTGCAGCCAGCTCTGCAAAGTAGAGAGTAAATCTGGGTGGAAGGAAGTCCAGGAGGAAGCCATACCAAGGATTTGCATAGAGGGAACCCCAGCAGCACCTGGTGAATGCCTCTGTGGTCATTCATGAAATGCCGTTAAGCACCTGGTGCTCCTGCCCCTCCCTAGTGGCCATGGCTAGCTTCCCAGGGACTCCAGAGCTTCACCATGGTGTAGGTGAAGAACCTTTCCAGGCCAGGCTGCAGTGTCTCAGCATCCACTGGGACATAGTACCCCTCCTCCCTAAGCTGCCCATGTCCATCTGCCTCCCTGACAAGCCTGACAGCTTCTTGTGTGGGGGCTCCAAGTTCCCCAATCCCCCTTTGGACAGGAGGACAGGACCAAGCTGGTTCATCCCTGCATCTCTGGTGTCCGTGCATTGAGTTGATTGGAGAGTAAATAGATAAAAAGCCTCAGAGAAATACAGGGGAGGGGGGTCCCCAGTTGGGCCCTGGGCTCAGAGGCTTCACAACATGGCAGTTAAAAGTTCAGGCTTTGGAACTGAAACTTTGACCTAATTTCTCACAACTTCCACATGTGTGACCCCCGGCAAATGCTGGATGAGGTTGAGCCTTCTATCAGGCTGAGGCATACATGGCACATGTAAAGCACCAAGCTCAGAACCAGGCACACTGTAACCTCCCCGCCCCTGCTGTCATCCAGGAGGGAGGCAGCACCGGGCTGGACATAAGGAAATGAGGGGTTTGGATGAACGAGCACGAGCCTCCGTATCACCCCAGCGGTGCCTATCAGGGAAGCAGCTCGTCCCATTTCACAGGGTAAGACCAGGCAAGAAGGGCTGGGTGCCCCAAACCACGTTCCCAGTGAGCTGAAGCCAGGTTGCCTCCAGGACCCTCCCAACCCACCATCTTCAGGTAGATGCTCCAGGAAGCACCGGAGTACCAACAACTCTAGGACCCAGCCCCTGGGGCGAAGGGGGCAGGGAAGGGACCTCATGGGCCCTGATTACATGCCAGGCACTGGGCCTACCTTGCGCATGCATTCTCAGTCTGTCCTAGCAGCCTGCTTGACCCAGTGAGCATTTGTGCAACCTCTCCTCTGTGCCTAAGAGAAGCCATAGTGGCTAGAAAGGGGTAAGTGACGCCAACCCGGACTTTGAGGAACTTAGAATAGAGCAGGGGAGGGGACTTGACCACACTTGTTGGGTCCCAGCCAGGCCAGGTAGGAGCCAGCAGAGGCTTCACGAAGCAGAGCCTGAGCAGCTGGGAAGGGGGGAATGCCCTGGGCAGAGCACCTGGCCTGAAGCCCCAGGGTGGTCTGCACTGAGCCATCCTGTGGGCCATCCCTGCTCCAGCCTTTACTAGCTGTGTGATCTCAAGTAGCATAACCTCTCCGTGCTTCAGTTTCCTGCTCTGTAAATGCACAGTGCCTTTCTTACCAGGCTTCTATGCAGATTAAATGAGGAAAATAACCAGAAAACATTCAGACCAGGGTTTGGTTGGTAGTCAATGTTGGTCATAAAAAAAAAGTGTTAAAAAAATTAAAAATAAATTTAAAAAAATAAAAAGTGTTGGTCATTATCACTGCAGTCAGGTTGGGTGGTTGGCAAGTTTTGGTTCAGGAGAGATGATTAGGGCTGAGCCTTGGAGGGTATGCAGGAGCCGAAGGGAGGCCTTTCTAAGGATACCTGTCTGGGTGGGGCAGACTTTCAGGCTGAGGTGAGATGGACTTACCTCCCACTCTGGCAAGCTGGGATGCTCTGCAGGGTTCCTGCTCCCTAGCTGGCCCATCTCCTCCAGACCAGCCATAGTTGAGGTCTCTGGTCCACTTGTCACTTTGGTGTTTGGCCACTGGGTGGAGATGCTGGCAGGGCTGGGCTGCTGGGCGGAGCTCTGGGGCCACTGCCCAGCGCTTTGTCCATTGACTAGGGTGGCCTCCATCCAGCCGGCAGACTCGCCCTGTCGCTCCAGCTCCAGGGTGCCGTTTGTGCCTGAGGAACCCACCTCAGGCCCTGAAGCTGTGGCCAGGGCACCCCAGTGTCCAGCTGGGTCCTTGCGGGGCAGCTGGGCCTGCAGCAGTTCCAGGAGGCCTTCCCAGTGCAACCTGGGAAGGTGGGAGGCGAGCATTGACTCCTCTGTGTGGGCCCAGGCCCCGTCTCTGGGTGCCCCGAGAAGGCCCACCAGGTCCCTCCAGTCAAGCTCGGGTCGCCTCTCAGGGCTGTGCAGGTGTGGGCAAGTTCCCTCAGCCCCCCAGCCCGTGGTGGTGGGTGTCTCAGGCCTCTGGGATTTCAGAAACTCTGTTGGGCCTACCCTGGAGTCCTCTGGGTGGCTCTGAGGCTGGGGAGCACTGGGCAGCTCCTGCAGGTTGCCCCAGCCTCTCTGAGCTGGCCTGTCAGGGGCACCCCACAACCCATTACTGGAGGGCTCCTCCCAGGCCTCTGGCTGCCCTCTGCGGCCGGTGGGGCCACCTGGCTGCCCCCAGCTCTCCTCGGACTCCCTGAGAGGGCCCCTCCAGGTTCCCTCTGGGGCTATGGCAACCCCCCGGCTGGGCTCCCCAAGTCCTTGCCAGCCCCCTTGGCCAGGGCCCTCCCGCCGGCTGCCACACCCGCTCTCCAGAGGTCTGTGAGGGCCCTGCATTCCTGGAGGCTCCTCCTGACTCTGCCACCCCCCCAGAGGCTGTCTTGGGCCCTCCTGGCCACTTTCCAGAGATCTCTCTCTCCGCTGCTCCTTCTCAGGGATCCTGGCTGATGTCCTGGGGGGCAGCGAGGACCCCTGGAGCCGCCGGTCCCCTTCAGGCCGCCTCTCGGGGCTCCTGGGAGGAGGGGGCTCTGCTTGGGTCCGCCGGGCCGGTCCTGCCTGCTTCACAAGGGGCTTGGTTACCTGAGGGCGAGGTGAGGGGGTGGGTGAGGCTCCAGGACCCTGACTGTGCAGTCTCTCTCTAGGACAGAAACTGGCCTTCACCTGGCCAGGGAAGAGTCAGGCTGTGTCTTCACAGCAGCCCACAAAGCGTCCAGGGTCCCTGATTTCCCTCCCTTGGGGTGTCCACTCTTCCCTTTCACCCAGTCTCCTCCCTTTGAGACCGAGATCTTTAAAATGCTGCTTACTTTCCTGGCTCCCCACCCCCCACCCCAAGGTATTAATTCCAACCTGGGGTATCGGGTGCCGGAATTTCCACCACCAATACCCTGCTTCACTGGGGTCAGGCCCTGCTCTCTGAGTTTCTTTAAAAATACAAATCACCACCCTGGAAGAGGTAGCCCTTAAAGCCGGAATGACGCATCCGGGGTTTCCCTGAAAACTTTCCAAGGTAGCAGGTGCTACCTGAATGAAGGAAGGCAACAACATGGAAGGGCCATCTTCAAAGGACTAATCCGGGGGCCTTCTCAATGCTTCCAAGAGCTGCTGGCTCTTTGGGAGAGGGGGAATCTGAATGCCCAAGATTGGGACTCTGACCCTTTCATAAAGGACCTCCCTTCCCAAGCCCCCTGCCTGGCACTAGAGGGAGGGGAGAAGTCGTGGGCCACCTCTTGGGGCTGCAGGGGCCCAGGGCAGACTGGCAGTGCTCACCTCCCTACTGAGGGCAGGGCTGGACTGTCTTCGGAGAAGTTGGCTCTGACCTTGGCTGGGCCGCTGCGACCGCCCCTCGTCCCGGGCCTGGAAGGTCCCCGGTGCCTCGGACTTCCTATGAGCAAATGCAGCCGCCCCTCTGAGGGCCCTTGGGACTGTCCCACTCCCAGCATCCCGGCTCCTCTACTCCCGCCCCCAACGGGAGCCATGAGCTCGTTGAAGGGCCCTGAGTGAGGGATGATCCTCTCAGGTTCTCAATTTCCCGTTCTGAAAAATGAGGATGGTCAACTACTCTAATCTACCTACCTCGGGGGGGTGATGAAATGAGAAAAAGAGTAAGCACAAGTGGGAGGCTTAGCCTTGGCCTTGACTGTTTCCTGTCTCACTCGGTACTACCACCACCCCACCTGCAGCCCACCACTCACCCCTAGGCAATGGTTAGATTGGTCCTTGTGGGAATTAAGATTTATTGAGCACCTACTGTGTACCAGGCACTGTGCACACATGATCGTAACAGCAAACATTTATTGAGCACTTCCTGTGTTCCAGGTGCCAAGCACTTGCCCATCCCACTTTGTCTCACACAACCCATGAGGTGGGGAGGAGAGATGCAGTGTCATGTGCCCTCATATCCCATTCTTTCTACCCTTTTCCTGTCCACATGGGGAGTTTGGGATTTCCCAGGCCCGTCTTCCCTCCCCTTCCGTAACTAAGAGGGTTCTGGCACTTAACCTTACACACTTCAGGCCTACCTAGCTGTTGGTAAAAGAGCTCTTAGCAAGATCAGAGGGAGGAAAAACATCCTCTACAATTCCGAAAAGCCAACATAAACTGTCCACACCAATGTCACTTCTAAGACACCTGGACTTCAAGCATTGTTGCCACATCTAACAAAGATAACCTCTAAGCTATAAAAAGTCTCTAGTTCCAGTTCATTGTCTTGCTTTATAATGGGAAGTTGTGGTTGTTAATTAATATTTAATTCAATATCTCTGTTGAGAGGTAGGAACCAAACAGTATCTGGGCACGCCTCTCCCATCCTGTGTGTAACGGCATCAAAACCCAAGACCCAGGGACGCCTGGGTGGCTCAGCGGTTGAACATCTGCTTTTGGCTCAAGGCTCAGGGTGTGATCTGGGGTCCTGGGATCAAGTCCCACATCCAGATCCCCACAGGGAGCCTGCTTCTCCCTCTGCCTATGTCTCTGCCTCTCTCTCTGTGTCTCTCATGAATAAATAAATAAAATCTAAAAAACAACAAAACCTAAGACCCAATTACTCCACTGGATGTTTATTTCAACAAGTCTTGGAGAGTAAAAAAATTATGAGTTTGAGGTCTGTTGCTGTTGTTGTATAGCTTTTACCAATGTCATTAGAATCAGACCCGTGGGATGCCGAGGTGGCTCAGTCAGTTAAGTGTCTGCCTTCAGTTCAAGTCATGATCTTGAGGCCTTCGGATTGATCCCACGTCTGGCTGCCTACTGAGCAGACTCTCTCCCTCTGCCCCTCCCCCTGCTCATTTTCTCTCTCTCTCTCTCTCTCTCTCTCAAATAAATAAATTTTAAAAAATTGAACCCATAAAGTAAGTTGAGTTTTTAGCAATTCTGAGCAGTAGACTCACAGGAAACCAAAGTTCTCTACCCTGGGAGTTAGGGTTTCTGAGTTTGAGGGCTGCCCAATCAGCTTCCATTTTTAATCTATCTGAGACCATGGGGGGTTCCTTGCTCTGTGAGATCTGAGGCCTCAGAGTGAGTTTTCCCTAGAACCAAGTGTTGGAGGCACCATGAAGTGAAAGCCCCCAAATGTGACTAGATTGAGGAGGGTAACAGTGAAAAATACACGGTGCAGGGTGGACAGGAGAATGTGTGCTCTTTCTAATGGAAGCACTTCCCATATAAACTCCAGCTTGCCCAACAATCATCTCTTTTGAGAAGTTTCCCCCATGTGGAATCGAGAATAGGAGGAAAGGACTCAAGAAAATTCCAAGACACCAACAGAGACCCAGCCTTTGTGAGGCTGAACCAGCAGTGTCCCCTTGGGCCACCTGTTCCTCAGTGTTGGTGTGGCTGCACTAAAGAAGACAAAGGAAGCATTTTTCGTTTGGAAGCTTGGATGGGCTCTACTCTACTTCCAGAGAGTATTTAAGGACAAAAGCCATCAAGTCAGGGATGCCTGGGTGGCTCAGTGGTTGAGCGTCTGCCTTTGGCTCAGGGCATGATCCCAGGGTCCTGGGATCGAGTCCTGCATCGGGCTCATCATGGGGAGCCTGCTTCTCCCTCTGCCTGTGCCTTTGCCTCTCTCTGTGTCTCTCATTAACAAATAAAATCTTTTTTCTTTAAAGCCATCAATCCTAGCAAATTCCATGAAAGCTCTCTTCTAAATTCAAGAGATTGCAAAATGTCTATATGATGCTAAGATAAGGGATTCCCAAGGCATCTAGGAGAGAAATATGAACCTATCAAGCCAAAATGCCCAGTGCTTTAATGTGAAAGCCCTTTTAAGAGAAATTTCCCAGGCCCACATAGACAATGCTTGGAGAGAGTAGATGCTCAATAAATACAGGTTGAATGAATATATGGGAGAAAATAAAAGCATAGCCCTCTAGCCATCCACTGATAACTTTGTCTGTCCCCTTACAGATACTTAAATAGGTTTTAAAATTTCATCTTCAAAGGACAAGTGCTTTTCTATTAGGAAAAATGTCATACAAGAGAAAAAAAAAAACTCAAGTAATCAATAAAACCTTGATTAAAAAATAAGTAGTCTACTTTGCCAAAATGTATACATTAAATGTATGCAATTTTCTATCAGTTATCCTGCAATAAAGCTTTAAAAAGGTAAACAACTTCAAAGAGAGCAAAAGAAATGAATAGAAGTATCTGTGTAAAAATAATTAAATGGTTAATAAAAGTATAAACATATTCCTGATTTCTGTTACAAACCCTTTATCTCTCTCAAAGTTATCCCCGTAAGGAAAAACAAAAGAAGGAGGAGGAGGAGTGAGGGGAGGAGGAGGAGAAGAAGAAGAAGAAGGAGGAGGAGGAGGAGGAGGAGGAGAAGGAAGAAGGAAGAGAAGAAAAAGAAGAAGAAGGAGGAGGAGGAAGAGGAGAAACTGAAACTGGAACTCTGGTTTAAATTAGAGTCCCTGTGGAGTTATCATATAAAAATCAAAAGTCTGCAAATTGATACTCAAATAAAAATAGTAATCATAGAAAGGCCAAAGACAGGGGAGGGGACAGTTTAGGGCAGTTAAACAACTCTGCATGATATCATAACGGTGGTTACGTGCCATTATACATTTGTCCAAATTCATAGAATGTACACTGTCATAAGTGAACCTGATGTAAACCATGGACTGTGAGTGATAATGTCATGTCAGTGTAGGTTCATGATTCGTAACAGGTGCTCCACTCTGATGGGGGCTGTTGTAGTGGGTGGGCCGTGCAGGTGGGTAGGGGGACAAGGGCTGAATGGAAAATCTCCGTACTTCCCACTCAATTTTACTGTGAACCTAAAACTGCTCTAAAAAAACATGAAAATGCATGTGTGTGCGTTTTTTTTAAGGGCAAAAAAAAAAAAAAGAATTACACTAATGATGGAGACCACAGAGGTTGTCACCTGGGTAGTAAATGGATAAAACTTACTAGAGAAGGAAATGTGAAGAATAAGAGAGATAAGCTTTCTCAAGGAGATTCAAATCTCAGAGAAAATATTGCCTAAAGGAAAACAAAGAATTCTGGAATGCAAAATATTACCCGGTCCCGGGGTGATAGAAAGGCTCTAAAATTAGGTAGTCTCAGTAAATACACTGTAATGCATTGAATTGTACACTGCAAATTTTGAGACTTTCAGACCTACTTTTTTTTTCCTTGCTTCCCTTGACCTTAACTTATAGAATTCCAGCCCTGATCCTTGAAAATCCTGAGGCTGGCACTGCTGGAGAAAGAAATCTCAGACAGATTGGGAGGAAATGTTTTCCCTCCCCACAGCTGTGCCAAAGCAGATGCCCTGGTTCATAAACCACCTGCGCAGCACTGCTTGAACACCAAGGGGACTCGCAAAATATGTGGATTTTGGGCATTGTCGCCCTATCCCAGGAAAGTGACACTTAACCTCTAAAAAATTTGTAATTTGGGCAGCCCCGGTGGCTCAGCAGTTTAGTGCTGCCTTCAGCCCAGGGCGTGATCCTGGGGACCTGGGATCGAGTCCCATGTCAGGCTCCCTGCATGGAGCCTACTTCTCCCTCTGCCTGTGTCTCTGCCTCTCTCTTTCTCTGTGTCTCTCATGAATAAAGAAATGAAATCTTTAAAAAAAATAAATAAAATAAATAAATACAATTGTAATTCTGTGAGTTCTTATTTAAAATATGTGGCTTTGGGATCCCTGGGTGGCGCAGTGGTTTGGCGCCTGCCTTTGGCCCAGGGCGCGATCCTGGAGACCCGGGATCGAATCCCACATCGGGCTTCCGGTGCATGGAGCCTGCTTCTCCCTCTGCCTGTGTCTCTGCCTCTCTCTCTGTGACTATCATAAATAAATTAAAAAAAATTAAAAAAATAAAATAAAAATAAAATATGTGGCTTTAGCCATTCATTTTAAACTGACATCTCTGGGGGCACCTGGGTGGCTCAGTGGTTGAGCATCTGCCTTTGGCTCAGGTCGTGAGCTCGGGGTCCCGGGATGGAGTCCCACATCGGGCTCCCCACAGGGAGCTTGCTTCTCCCTCTGCTTGGGTCTCTGTCTCTCATGAATAAGTAAATAAAATTCTTTAAAAAAAAATATAGGGACGTCTGGGCGGCTCAGCAGTTGAGCGTCTGTCTTCAGCTCAGGGTGTGATCCTGGGATCCTGGGATCAAGTCCCACATCTGGCTCCCTGCATGGAGCCTGCTTCTCCCTCTGCCTATGTTTCTGCCTCTCTTTCTCTGCGTCTCTCATAAATAAATAAAATCTTTTTAAAGATCTTTTAAAAAATTAATAAATTGACATCTCTGTTTTCTGAAATGCATGGGGACCCATGAGTTTCCTTTGTTAAAGCAGACAAGAACCATGGGTATTTTCTTTTCTCAAAGGAAAAAAAAACAAAATAAACCTGTGATTCTGGATCACACAAAGGGTTTGAGAGTTTGATCTTATTTGAATTAATGTACTAACGTTCTCCCCATTTTATGGATGAGGAAACTGAGACTCAATAGGTTAAATCACTATATCAGGTCATGTAGGTTAGGGACTGGATTTGACCCAAGATTTGAACCCAGCCCACCTGACCCTGGTCTTTGCTCTTAATCGCTAGACTATGCACAGTATCACTTGGTAGTCAAAACAAAACAAAACAAAACAAAACCTCCTAAAATGTGGAAAGAGAGATGAAGTGACTTGCCCAAGGTCACACAACCAGTCAGTGGCAGGGTGGGGGTCTCTGAACACTTTCCATCTGCCAACCCGAACCTGTGAACCTTCCACGTGCTCTGCTGCCAAGCCTCCTCCCCAGCCCACCTGGCTGACCCCACCCTGAGCTCACCTGCGCTCTTGCCCGAAGAGGCGCTCCACCTCTGCACGGCCAGGGCTGTGGGTGCGGCCCCCGTTGCTGCACTGGGGCCCTGGCTCCCTCTGTGCCAGCCTCCTGGGTGGGGGCAGGTCAGCCAGCACGGTGTACTCCTCCCTCTCCAAGTTGTGCCTGGTCTCCCCAGGGGGTGCTGAGCTCCGGGAGCCCCCCGAGCTGCCTGGTGGAGGTGAGGGTGCCAGGAACGCTAGGTCACTGGGGGGGTGGCGGGGTGGGGAGGTGGCTCGAGGTGCATCCCGGTATCCGATGCACACTTGAGGGAGCAGCACTGGGGAGCCATGCAGAGAGTCAGTGGAGGGGGCCAGGCTCTCCATACTAGTCCCTGGGGGATCCTGAAAGAAGAGGGAGGGCTCAGGGGCCTGGCGTGGTGGGGACGAGAAGGAGGGTGCATCACGGTGCCCAATGCACACGGGGGTGGGGATGTGGGGGAGCTCATGTAATGAGTCTGTGGAGGGGACAAGGCTCTCAGTGCTGGGGAGATCCTGGAATAACAGGGAGGGCTCTGGGGGCTGGCGTGGTGGGGAGGAAGCCCGGGGTGCATCACGGTACCCAATACACACTGGTGGGGGGAACTGAGGAGGGTCATGCTGGGGGGACTGAGTCTCAGCATCTGATGTGTCTGGGAGGAAGGGGAAGGGGTCAAACTGGGTGTGGCGGGGGGGTGAAGAAGCCCGGGGAGCATCGCGATGACCAATGCACACAGCTGGAGGTATATAAGGGGGGGTGTGGTGGGGCAATTCACTCTCAGATGCATGGGGGTCTGGGAAGAAGGGGAAGGGGTCATGTTGCAAATAGCGAGGAGGTGAAGAAGCTCGAGGGGCATCCCGATGCCCAATACACACAGAACATGCAGGCTGGGAGGGTTCAGAAGAGGTCTGGAGTACTCCGTGGGTAGCCGGGTACAGAGGTGAAGAAGTCCGGGAGGCACTGTGGTGGCCCGGGTTATGGGATGAGGAAGTGGCCCGGGATGATGAGTTATGCTGGGTAGATCCAGAGGAGGAGAGAGGTGGGTCACGCTGAGCTGGCCTAGTGGGAGATGAGGTCTGAGGCTTGTCACCTTGGGTTGGCCGAAGGGTGATGGAAGCCCAGGGAACCTCACTTTGTTTAGAGCGAGATGGGGAAGAGGTTCGGGGACCTTCACTCTGGGTTGGGCGGAGGGGAAAGGAGGCCCAGGGAATGTCTTTGTTGGTACGATGGGGAGAAGAATTCCTGGGATTGTTCCGCTGAGTGGAACGATGGGGAGACGATGGGCCAGGATTGTCCTGTTGTGTGCAGCATCGTGGGGAGGAAGTTCCAGGGTTGTCCCGCCGAGAGGAAGATTGTGGATTGTCTCGTTGAGTGTAAGAGGTTCTAGGGTTATTCCACTGCGTACAAGAGGTTTTAGGGTTGTCTCGTTGGGTAGAAGGAGTTCTGGGGATGTTCTGTTGAATACAAGATGTTCTGGGATTTTCCCGTTGAGTGGTTCTGTTGGGAGAGGAGGCTCTGGGATTGTCCCGATGGGCACAAGATGTTCTAGGGTTGTCCCGCTGGGTGGTTCTGCTGGGAGAGGAGGCTCTGGGATTGTCCTGCTGGGCACAAGATGTTCTAGGGTTGTCCCGCTGGGTGGTTCTGTTGGGAGAGGGGGCTCTGGGTTTGTCCTGCTGGGCACAAGATGTTCTGGGGTTGTCCTGCTGGGTGGTTCTGTTGGGAGAGGAGGCTCTGGGATTGTCCTGCTGGGTGCAGAATGTTCTAGGGTTGTTCCGCTGGGTTGTTCTGTTGGGAGAGGAGGCTCTGAGATTGTCCCACTGGGTGCAGAATGTTCTAGGGTTGTCCCGCTGGGTGGTTCTGTTGGGAGAGGAGCCTCTGGGCTTGTCCTGCTGGGTGCAGGATGTTCTAGGCTTGTCCCGCTGGGTGATTCTGTTGGGAGAGGAGGCTCTGGGATTGTCCCGCTGGGTGCAGGATGTTCTAGGGTTGTCCCGCTGGGCGGTTCTGTTGGGAGAGGATGATCTAGGGTTGTCCCGCTGGGTGGTTCTGTTGGGAGAGGAGGCTCTGGGATTGTCCCGCTGGGTGGAGGATGTTCTAGGGTTGTCCCGCTGGGCAGTTCTGTTGGGAGAGGATGTTCTGGGGTTGTCCCTCTGGGGAGTACAAGTGGAAAAAGAAGTCTGAGGGTTGTCCTGTTGGATAGAAGAGGTTCTGGAGTTGTCTTGTTGGATGGCTCTAGTCGGAGAAGAAACTCGAGGATTGTTTCGTTGGATGGAGGAAGTTCTGGGGTTATCCCGTTGGGCAACTCTTGAGGGAGAGGATGCTCTGGGGGTGTTGCGCTGTGTGAAAGAGGTCCTGGGGATGTCTTGTTGGATGGAGGAGGTTCTGGGCTTGTCCCGTTGGGCGATTTGTGTGGGAGAGGAGGTTCGGGGGGTATTGAACTGTGCGGAAGCAGTCTGGGCAGCGTCCCTTTGGGCAGAATGATGAAAAGAGGAAGCCTGGGGGGTGGCACTTCGAGGTCCGCTATGCGGTGTCACACAGGAAGCCTGGGTTAGCGCCGACCGGTGCCGCTCCAAGAAGTGCCCACTTTCTCCCCGGAGTTTCGCCCAGTGCTGTCCAGCACTTCGGCTCCCACTGCAGGTGTCTGGAGAGAGGAGAGGCTGGTTCAAGGTAAGAGGAGGGGTCTCACACACTACCTCTCTTTGTCCCCTGGGACAGATAATTAAGGCAGAGCCCACAGCCCCTTCTCAGAGGACCCACTGTCCACACCAAATGACTCCACCCCTCGGAAGGAGTTTGATTGGAGGAGGCTTAAAGGCCTCTCTCAAGCTGAGGCTGGGAATTTGATATTGAAACCCCACCTGACTCAGTCACTGGGAGGTAGTTTTCTGAGCCTGAAGGGACTGGGAGTCCCCGGACAAATTCGTAGAGAGCAATTTTGACAATAGCCCATGGGACCCGAGAAGAGGAGAGGCGAGTCTAGCAGCAGCTATCTAGCAACTTCCCTTTCTCTATTCTACTTCCTGCAGATGGGTTCTGAGAAATTCCCCCATCTCTTCTAATGAGGCTCTTTCATGTGTGATAGCTCTAGAAAGCTCCCATTCCTGACTCCCAGAGAGGCTCCTGCCCCAGCAGTGCCCGTTGGAGCTGCCATGAGCATGGAATAGGCTTTTGTGAACCTGCAGCATAGGCCTCACCTGGGAGTTTGCTAGAAATGCAGATTCTCGGGCCACCACCCCACCACCCCCACATCGAATCTACATTTTAATAAGATTCCTGGGTGACTTGCATGCACGTTACTGTCTAAGCAGCCCTGGTCTGGGAGATTAATGTAACTGCCCGAAACAGGGACCCCCTTCACAACTCCCATCCCTGTGAAGGGGCCGCCGTGGCCTCAGTGTCACCCTCCAGCCCCTGCAGGCCCTGGTCATCCAGCATGTGGTAGCCCCCAGCTGTGTGAGTGTCCCTGGGCCAGTGCTTCAGGAGAGGACTGAAGGGGAAGGTGGCCTCATCTGGAAGGAGCCATGGCTGCTTTCATTAAAGGCCACGCTTAAGACACACCCCCACCCCCTTGTGCTGGGAAAGCTCTGCCTCCTCCAAGCTTTCTGAGCTGCTGTCCCAGAAGTCGGAATTTCCCGCACCTAGCAAGGAACTAGAACCAAGCACACAGCAGATTTTAATTTTTTTTTTTTTTTTTTACGATAGTCACAGAGAGAGAGAGAGGCAGAGACACAGGCAGAGGGAGAAGCAGGCTCCATGTACCGGGAGCCCGACGTGGGATTCGATCCCGGGTCTCCAGGATCGCGCCCCGGGCCAAAGGCAGGCGCCAAACCGCTGCGCCACCCAGGGATCCCAGATTTTAAATTTTTTGTTGCTGTTGCCGGATGAACTGACGCCCCATGACCTTCCAAACCCCGGGCCAGGTTCTCTCATCTGCCTCCTCTCACCCCCCACCCCTCCCTCCCCCATCAGCCAAGTGAATCCCATGCCTTGGATGGTTGCACTAGCCCTCAACATGTGTGCTGTGGGCCCCAGATCATCATCCCATTCAGGAAGATCTTTCCAAAAGCAAACCTGGATAGTTCACCCCTGCTTACAGGGAGGGTCCAAAGAGCTATAGACTGGAGAAGACTGGGAGACATGGCGTCTACATGCCATGTGGGTCCTGGTTAGGAGCATAGGACCACAAAGGGACATCAATGGAAAAACCCGGGAGAACCCAAATAAAGTCTATAATCTAGATAGTGGTGGCATAAAAATGTTAATTTTTTTAAAAAAGATTTTATTTATTTATTCATGAGAGACGCAGAGAGAGAGAGGCAGAGACATAGGCAGAGGGAGAAGCAGGCTGCATACAGGGAGCCCAATGTGGGACTCGATCCCGGACTCCAGGATCACGCCCTGAGCCATAGGCAGATGCTCAACCTTGGAGCTACCCAGGCATCCCAAATGCCTATCAAAATTAAGAAATTAATATTGGGGGCACTGAGGGCATGGAGCCTGCTTCTTCCTCTGCCTATGTCTCTGCCTCTCTCTCTGCATCTCTCATGAATAAATAAATAAAATCTTAAAAAAAAAGAGGTCAACATTAGGGGAATGGGGCAAAGGATACAAGGAAATGCTCTGTACTCTTTGCAACTCTGCTATCAATCTGACATTATTTCAAAATAAAAGATTTCAAAAACATCAGGAGCTCCGAACTGCATTTGGAAGAAAACCCAAGGATTTCCCATGGCTGGTGAGGCTCTGACTACCCCCCGCACCGGCCTCCCCGCTCCATCTGGGGAGGGGCCCCACCTTCTAGTTTTCTACTGTGCCTCCTGGGCTGAGTGAAGAAAGTGCCCAGCACACCGAAAGGGCTCAGTAATGCTGTGCCCCAGCATCCAGCTCTGAGCTCTCTCTTACCCTTTGAGCAGGGGTGCTGGCTGAGATGGCGTTCACCACCACTCCCGGGACCTCACAGCTGGGTCAGTGCCCCCAGCCCAGGCTTCTTCCTTGCCCTCCCATCGTGAGCATCTCTTTCAGCCTGGCCCACTCAGGATCTGACTTCACTCCAGCAGCCCCACTACTGCACACACAGGACAAACTCTACAGATGTCCTGGGGCACCGGGTCCTGTCCCTTCAGCCAGCTGGACTCTGCACAGCCCACCGCATAGAGTGTACTTTGCAAACTAGGAGGGGCCCAGAGAGGAATGTCAAGGAGTTCCTAGCATCTCATCTTGGAGTTGGCAAATTCCTCCTGGGCCCTGGCCCCCTGCCTATGATTTGGGAGCCTGCCATCAGGTGGACAGTAATGACAAACAGGTCACACATAGTGAGGGTTTCCCACTCCACTGCCCTGTGTTAGAAGCAAGAAAGCAGGTGTTTAGTACAAAATCCCACCTGTTTATTAGGCCACTCTTGCTCCAGGGAGGTATTTGGCTCCCTGTGTTCTGTGATATTACTTCTTCCTACAGACCCTCTCTCCAGGGCCTGATAGGGCAAGGCAGTGGGGGTAAGGTGGTGATAAAATCTGAGTCATGGAGGGTTTTTTGTTTGACTTTTTAGAAACAGAGAGAGAGAGCATGTGAGCAAGGGGAGGGGCAGAGGGAGAGAGAATCTCAAGCAGACTCCAAGCTTAGCACAGAGCCCCACACAGGGCTTGAGATCATGACCTGAGCCAAAATCAAGAGTTGGACACATAACCAACTGAGCCCTCCAGGAACCCCTCATATTTTTAAAGGTGTCTCCAGCTGCTGTGGGGAACGGACTGAGAGGCTGGGCAGAGACCAGAGGCTTGGAGGGGGCTCTGGGGACAATCTCAGTGAGGGGCAGCGGTGGCTTGGCCAGGGAGTACTTATACAGATGGCAAGAAAGGGACAGACTTGAGGTATGTTTTGCAGGTGGTGCTAACCAGAACTGCTGTTGAATATAAAGGGTGAAGAAATAAATCAGGAAAACACCAGATTTGGGGTCTAAGCTGTTAGCATAGTGGTGACATGGAGCAGACTGCAGGAAAACAGGTTTGGAGGGAGGGTCAGGTGGTGGGTGGCCCTCCACAGCAGCCTCCTCTCCCCTCCCTTCCCTGACTCCTATGCTCCACATGCTCCCATCACCCATACTGGGCTCACATGTCGAGATGCTAACCAGTGTCACGAGCATCCGGGCGCTTGGCCTGTGCAGTGGCCTTTCCCTTTCTCTGCAAACAATCCTCCTGATTTCCCGTGGGCAATCTCCTCCCCCGGTCGCAGGCCATGAGGCATGCACAGAGGCCTGACTCCATCCCTGATCACCAGGTTGGGCACGTGACCCATGCTGGGTCCCAAGGAGAACCATATTGAGAAGACTGTGCCCTCTTCCCTAGGAGCTGATACACAGGTAGGAGACAGCCAGGTCCTGCTGCTGCTCATCATGCTATGACCGGGGCAAGGTCTGGCTGAGAACAAAGCCAATGCAGGAGAAAACTTAGCAGAGACCAGATGTCCGATACTATTTGAACATCTGGATCCAGCCATGCCTGAAGTCACAACCGCCTGAACTTTTTACTTAGTGTGAGTCATTCCGTTTCTGTTCAGTCGGTTTCCATCAATTGTAACCTGATCCTAACCAACCAGTTGTGAGATGATGTTCTTAAAGCTGGTCGCATGGCACACCAAGGCCGCTCCGTAATTATGTGGGAACTGTACTGTTATTACTCAGGCCACCAAAGTAAGATGTGCTGGGGGACCCAGATGGCCAGTGAGATCTGGCCAGGCCCCGGGCTGTCACCACACCTGTAGTCACAGAGACCAACCTGGCCTAGCAGGACTCACCTTCTTTTCTCTGGCCTGCGGTATCACCTCCCACGGGGGAACGGGTAAGGAGAGATGGAGCCCTTCGGGCACTGTCGGCTCTTGGCCCTTCCTGGGGTTTCCTCGGGATCATCGCGGTGAGCTCGTCCCAGCTGGGAGCCTCCTCCTGCCTCGTAACAATATCCCAGTCCTGCCAGGGAAGGGAAAGAGAGAAAACATGTTCGGAACCTCTAGGACCTGTGCTCCCAGCATGAGATGGGGAGAAGGAAGGGAAAGGCACTGACACGGAAAGAGCACCTACTGTATACTCGGCACTGCCCTGGGCTCTTTGCAGACGTTAACCTAGATTAGCTAATCAACCCTTGAGGTGGGCGTGACTGCACCCAAAATCAGGCAGCTGGGAAATGGTTTAGGTGGGAGGGGACTTAAACCCAGGGCAATTGGACTCCATGTGGTGGGAAGGCCCTGGCCTAGCAGCCCCCGGTCCCCAGAGACATCCCCAGAGGTCCAGGGAGAAGTGAGTTCAAAGCCTTGCCCCTCCACTTCCCAGATACGTGGCATCAGGTAAGTTGCTTTGCTGCTCTCAGCCTGTTTCCTTGCCCCCAAAATGGGGCCATAAAAGTCTCTACATTTCCTGAGCCCACACTTGCGGTCCTATACTTTCCCTTGGAGGTCTCACAAATAGCCTGCCTCTCCAGCCCTCTGAGGGGTGAATATCCTGGGAAGTTTCAGAATCTTCTCTTCTCCCAGCCAAATGGCCCCCAGCCCTTGCCCAGGCTCCTTAGCCTACTCCCTCCCCTCTGTCCCTTTATACCAGGAAATCTGTACCAGGGCCAGTCATGGAGCTCAGTTGTGTGTGACCGGGCCCAGGACCAGTCCCGTCCCTGCTCTGGACAGCATGCCCAATATCCGGGCCCTCTGTGACCTGAGAGTATTTGGCAGCCCGACCCTGTTGGTGATTTACCTGCTACTCCCTGTCAACTGAAACTCCTGTCTTTTCATGGTCAGCCCCCAGTTCCCTGGGCTGGCTGGGCAGAGACCCCTGCCCCTCCCAGGTGGTTGGTCCCGGCAGCCAGAGATGCTGGCTAAGTCTCCAGAGGACCTTGGCCCAGTTCTCTGTGTGGGTGGGACCCCAGGGCTGGCACAGAGGGGTGATCTGGCCCCTGGCCTTCCATCCCCAGCTCACCACGGACGACAAGTCGCTGGTATCATCAGGGGTGTCACAGTCAGGGCTGGAGCTGGTGCCAGAGTCAGGACCTTCGTCGAAGCTGCCACTCTGAGAGGAGGCCAGACCCTCCAGATAGGGCACTGCTTCTGGTTCCTGGCTTCTGCTCTTGGGAGCAACTGTGGGGACCTCTGTGGAGGATCCTGCTGATGGGCCCCTGGGAGAAGACACAGACCTATGACCACAGACCTATTTCTTCCCCAAAAAGTCATAGAAATTAGAGAGTAATACCCCCACCCAGGTCTGCACACACCTCATATTAGAGCAAAGGAGGGAGGTAACACCAAGGCCTTCACACAGACTGCCTCATTCAGCTACAACAGTCTCCCTTTGAAATGTAATGATTCCCATTTTACAGACAAGACACCAAGGCTCAGAGAGATCAAGGGACTGGCCAGGGTCACAGAGCAAGGAAGGGGGTACAGCTGCATTGTGAACCATGCCTGTGGCCCTAGCATCAATCCTCTGTCACTGGAGCAGGAGTGGGATCCTCAAGCTCAGTACAACTAACAGGACAGAATTGTACTGGGGTGAAGGGGGCTTCAAAAGGTAGCAGGGCTCCAGGTGGTGACAGGGTCACCAGTCTGGATGCCATGGAGGGGGTAGCAGAGAAAGCCCTGCTTTAGAGAAGCCAGTCGGGATAGCCACAGGTCCAAGGAGGCTTATAGATGACAGTATCCCCAAAGAGTGACCCACAGATCGACCTACAAGATGGAAAGAGATGATAGCCCTGAAAAAGAGGTCTGTGGCCAAGTGAGTTTGGGACATATCACACACTTCTACCTCCTTACCTAAAAGCACAAGGCCTGCTAGCAAACTAAAGGTTCTGACAAATCTTGCAAGGAAGATATTCAAATCTGTTTATCCCAGACTTTCTGAAACATACTTGGTGGCAAAGCTGGATTTTTTAAGTAATACCTACCTGGGAAGAATACAAGTTCCCAAAGCAAAGCTGATTTGGTTCAATTCCTCTTATTTTTTAAACAAGGAGGGGCACCTGGGTGGCTCAGTGGTTGAGCATCTGCCTTCAGCTCAGTTCGTGGGCCCAGGGTCCTGGGATCGAGTCCTACATCGGGCTCCCTGCAGGGAGCCTGCTTCTCCCTCTGCCTGTGTCTTTGACTCTCTCTGTGTCTCTCATGAATAAATAAACAAAATCTTTAAAAAATAATGATAATAAACAAGGAAACTGAGGCATAAAGGAGGGAATAATGTTCCCTTAGTTCATCAGGAATGGAGCTGAGGCTAGAACCCAGGTTTCTGGACCCTTAGCCAGGCCCTTCCAAGGCACCATGTCCTCAGAGAGGGACTTCAGTTCAGCTTAGGCCTGGAAGTGGAGGGAATCCCAAAGCCAGAGCAGTGCACGGTCAGGTAGGTGGGTGGTTAACAGGCACCCTGGTTGCTGAGACTCTTTAATTTTTCAAAGCTGTGCCAAGGGAACCAAGAAATGTGAGCGGGATGGGGGCCATGCACCCTGCAGGGTGGGTGCACAGCTGCTCCATACCCCAGAGCAGACGGAGCTAGAGCCCGAGGAACATGCCCACTGCCAGCCTATACCCAAGGCTGTGTGAACTGACCATGTGACCCATGCCCACAGCCAGCACAGACACTCCTGCTATCGTGAAGGGGTGTGGGAGGGGGTGAGGGCATCCTTCCCTAGGGAACCCTCCCCCAAGCCCTGGGGCTCTACCCACCTCTCAGGCCCTGGCTCAAGGCCCAAGCCCACCACGGACTGGCAGCTGGAGGTTGAGGGGCTGACAGGGTCCTCAGAGGCAGGTGGGCGGCGTGGTAGGTCGCAGTAAGGCACCTCAGCACTTGGAGGGCTCCCCGGCTCCTGGGGCAGGGTTGGAGAGAGGAGGCAGCTCCTGGCCCACGTGGGGGTTCCCCACCCTCTGCGCAGCCCCTCCCCCCACCAGGCAGTGTGGAAGAGTGTCCAGGCATCTCCTGGGGGTTCTCATGCTTCTCAAGGAGAGCTGTCCATCAGGCTGGAAGCGCCTCTTGGGACCCAGGCTGGGGACTGGCAAAGGCACAGGGTGTGTGCACCTGCACACGTGTGTGTACAGGTATGTGTGTGTATATAGGCCCATGGGTGTGCAGGTGTGCACACATGCATGCGTCTGCAAGTCCGGGGGATACACTAGTGCGTACGTTCGCATCAATGCATGTGAGTATATTGCTACAAGTGTGTGTGCTGGAGGATGTGAAGTCAACGGAAGGGCCCAAGCGGGTGTTCTGGAGCTGGAAAGCCAGGTGGAGGAGGGAGGGGAAGGAGGAAGGACCAAGCCCACCTGGAGTGAAGGCAATGGTCCAGGGAGAAAGAGGAAGTCTGAGGAGCCAGGAAGCGGGGACTGGGGGATCTGCCCTGCTACAGGGGTGGGGGCAGGGGGCCGGGAGCCTGGAGGGTCCAGGCTCCAGTGGGGGTGGGGCCCCAGCCGCCAGCCCTTCTCTCCCACCCGCCCTCGGCCAGGCCACACCTGGGCGTGCGAAGGCTGGTGCTGGGCTCACCCGGGGGGAACGGCGGCGGCTGGCCTCCGGGAAGGCCCCCCCATCCCTCCCCACCTCCCCGGAGCCGCGGGCCGCGGCACCCTGCACCCCGCCTCCTCTCGGGTTACCTGGGCGGCGGGCTCCCGCGCGGCGGCGGCTGGCGGCTGTCAGCACCCTCGTCCCCGGGGGGCTCCGGCTCAGGCCCCCGCGCTGCCGCCCTCCCAGGCCCCGACTCTGGGCCACGGTGGCAGCGGCCGAGGCAGCGGAAACCTTAGAGGGGCCGGCTGCGAGCAGGGGCCCCTCATTACTCTTTCATAAGCCGGGGCCCAGCCAAGAACAATGCGGGACATGAAACCGCAGGAACCTGATCCCTGCGCTCACCTGAGAGCTGGGCAGGGCGGAGGGGTAGCGGGGCTGGGCGCGGGCTCCCCGGGGACCCCGGGGCTCAGCGCTCAGTGCTGAGGCCACCGCTGGGCCCCAGGGCAGGGTGGGCACGGGGACCCCGGATTCCAAGTCGCCTGGCAGCGGCCAGGGGCAGTGCCAAGGAGCAGGGCCAGGGCGCCCACTGTGCATCCAAGCCAGAGCACGGCCATGTGGGTTGGGTTTCGCCCCCTGCCCTGGAGCCAGATTCTGATCAGAACTCGACAGCGGGAGGTGTCAGATCCGCAGCCCAGCCTGGCGCCTTGGCCGCCCTGGGGACCTTGCCACGTGAATGAGGAGGGAGTAGCTGGTTGGGTACCACCAGGGGTCCAGCTCAGCTGGGCCCAAGCAGGACCCACAGCCTGTCACGACACAGCCTCTATGCTTTCACCCCCAGCCCCCATCACTGCCCACTGCCCATTGGAGCAGGCCCAGTAGCCAGTCCTTGGCTCTGATTTCCTGCCTGGCGGGTCAGCACGGGCTCTGGCCTCAGACATCAGGACCAATCCTGGCACCTCCACTTCCCAGCTGAGTGACCTCAGCTTGGTGGCTTCCCTCTCTGAGCCTGGTTTTCTCATCTATAATACTGAGGATGATAAGAACACCCATCTCCCAGGGAACTTGGGAGAATTAAATGGGTTAATATTTGTAAAGGGCTTAGAACAGTGCCTGGTCTACACATCTGCAATATAATAAATAATGTAAAAACATTAAATAGAATTTTATTAGTGTTAAATCAATAGAATGTTAAATACAGTGAAGAATAAATATATTGAAAGGGAGCCTAAGTGGTTCAGTCAGTTGAGTGTCCAACTCTTGGTTTCAGCTCAGGTCATGATCTCAGGGTCCTGGGATCAAACCCTGAGAAAAGCTCCATGACAAGCCCTGCCTTGGGCTCCATGCTCAGTGGGGGAGTCTGCTTAGGATTCTCTCTCTCCCTCTCCCTCAGTCCCTTCCCAGAGTGTGCACACATGTGTATGCTCTTTCTTACTGTCAAATGAATAAATAAAATCTTTAAAACAAAATAAAGATAGATTTATTCATTTGACAGAGAGCACAAGCAGGGGGAGTGGCAGGCAGAGGGAGAGAGAGCAGACTCCCCACTGAGCAGGGAGCCCCACATGGGGCTTGATCCCAAGACCCCAGGATCATAACCCAAGCTAAAGGCACATGCTTAACCAACTGAGTCACCCAGATGCCCATCAGTGTTTTTTGTTTTTTTTTTTTTTAAGATTTATTTATTGAGAGTAGAGCAGGGATGCATCCAGCACCCAGGCTCCTAAGGGAGCCAGAGTAAACTTTCAGGGTGAGGGCTGCCCAGGCACCTAGGATCACTTCTGCATATTCCCGGGTAGCAATAATGCCTGACACATTTTAGGCACCTGTTCGTGTGTGAATATGTGAGCTGGCCTCGGTGTGGCCAGACTGACACTAGAACTCAGACCTGTCTGGATCCAAGTTTCTCCTCCCGTTTCATGCTTGCCATCTCTCCACTCACTGCAGGAGGGCATGTGCATCAGGACTGACTAGAGGGGCTTTCAGGAATGTTTCCTGAACTTGGGGCTTGAGGGTAGAGAGCTGTTATTGGAGGTATCAAGACATGCAGAAAAGAATCTCCCAGGTTTACTTTCCTCCCAGGAGGAAGAGAGGAAATAACATGTATTGAATTAGCCACATGTGCCTTGGACTAAATGGTGCCAGATGCCCTGAGTGAGAAGGCTGATGCCCTACTTTCCGCATTAGGAGAGTGAAGCCAGAGAGGGTAAGTAACCACAGGTCACGCGGCAGGTAAATGGTAAACCTAGGACTGGGACTCTGGCTTGCCTGGCTCCGAAGCTGAAGGGCTAACTCCCTCCTAAAGGCCACCCCGTGGAGCCTAACACCCTGCCCTGAGTGGAGCTGGCTGCCAGGCTCAAGAAGAGCCTCAGGACCCTCTGGGGATGCAAGACCCATGGGGTGGGGGTGGGGGTCAAGGCTGGAAGGGTCCTTGGAGATTCACAGCCCTGCGCTTCTCGTTGCTTGTGTACCAGGCGCTCTGGGTTTACGCGTCGCAGGGCTTGGCCTAAGACCATGAGGATTGCAAAGTGAGAAAACCCCCTCCCCTTTCACTCCTTCAATACCTCCAAGGAGAAAGTCTCCAGTGAGTGCTGTGGTACCTTTTATGCCTCCATAACACCTGCCAATCTCTTTTTTTAACAGAAGAACAAGACTCAGGCCCAGAGCTTTCAGGAGACATTCTCTAGTTAGAATTTAATGACATTTCTGATTCTTTTCTTTATCTTTCTTCCATTTTAACCTTCTATGTAAAGGATATGATTCTAGTTTCTTATTTGTAGTGATGATATAAAGTTTTGTTTTAGTGTAAGTTTTAAAAAGGGGTTTTATTTATTTGAGATAGAGCGAGGGAGAGAGAGCGCATGAGCAGCAGGGAGGCGCAGAGGGAGAGGGAGAGAGAGAAGCAACTCCTCACCAAGCAGAGAGCCCAATGCTGGGCTGGGGGGCTCAATCCCAGACCCAGGGATCATGATCTCAGCCAAAAGCAGACACTCACCAACTGAGCCCCCCAGGTGCCCCAAAAGTGTTTATTTAAAGGACAATAAAATAAGTTCTGGATTACATGAGGCTATGGCAAAAAATCATAAAGCAGGAGAATGACTTGCATTTGGAAAACATGACATGGTCCCACCGGCTCATGGTACAGATGGCAGAACCGCAGCTGCGCCCAGGAGGAAGGCCAGTATCTGAGTTTGGCCACAAGTTAGTGGCCCAGCTGGTGCAGCCCTTCATGAACACCCCCATCCCAAACCACCACCACAACTACCCAGGAAACCTACCTGGTGCCTTGCTCTGTGAGCCTCCCCAGAGTGGAAACGGTTTTGACAGCAGCTCTGGGCAAGCAGGTTGGCCTCCAAGCACTCACAGGGGGCATTCCCAGCCACCCCCTCCATATTGGTCGAGTCAAGCCAAAGTAGCTCCTGTGATCCGATGGTAGGGCCTGGGAAGAATGGTGGGGAGCAAGGACCAGGTAATTGGCTGGCAGCCCACCCAGAACCCAGCCTTAGCTGCCCCTAGACAGATAAGGGCTAAGGAAACAAAGTTATCCATCCATTCATTCATCTGCTCATGTATGTTCACTCAGTAAACACTCATTAAGCACCTACTAAACACCAGGCACTCTGCCAAGCATTTGGCATGTGACTTCTAGTCATTACTGCTGTGTTGCTTGAAGTGTGTTCCAAGGATGCTGCATTAGACTCAGCTGAGCTGCTCATAGAATGCATGTTCTGGGGCACCTGGGTAGCTCAGTCGGTTAAGCACTAAATGTCTACGTTGGGCTCAGATCTTGATCCTAGGAGCCTGCCTTGCATCTGGCTTCCTGCTCAATGGTGAGTCTGTTGCTCCATCTGCCTCTCCCCCTGCTCATGCTCCCTCTCCCTCTTTCTCCCTCAAATAAATAAATAAAATTTTCAATAAAATAAAATGCATGTTCTTGGAGCACCTGGCTGACTCAGTCAGTGGAGCATGTGACTCCAGATTTCAGGGTTGTGACTTAGAGCCCCACGTTGGGCATTGAGATTACTTTATAAACAAATAAACATATTCCCAGTTCCCTGCCCAGATCCACCCAGTGAGAATCTCTTGGAGGTGAGGCCTGGGGTTGTGCATTTTCAACAAGTATCCTAGGTGATTCAATGCACTCCAAAGGTTGACTGCGCTTGACTCACAGTTATCCTACATTGTAGATAAAGTCAATGCCAATTTCAGAGGAGGCATCTGAAACCAAGGCTCACCAAGGATTCACACCTTGCTCTAGGTCCCTTGCTCTAGGCTGAACTGGATTCAAACCCAGGTCTGTGTCCCTCCCCACCCTCTTGGAGGTGGAAGTGAGGGGCACTGCATCATACCGCCAATTCACACAGGTTCCTTGGGGAACACTGGGGAGCAAAAGACCAGTAGGTGTTTTCAGAGTTGAGGACAAAGTTATGGGCAAAGGCGGACACCCTAAGGCCCCACAGTAAGTATGCAGCACAGTTTAGCCAAAAAAAAGCTCTGGTGCTCTGACTTGAACACAGAGCTCTCCCATCTGGGTGAGGCCACTGACAGCCCCAGCACCATGCCCTGGGACAGAGGCAAGGGAAGATGCCCCAACAAAAGTGACCTGAAGATGCCTTCCTCGCTCACACTGAACCCCAGGAGGAGAGTGGGGTGGAAGAGGAATCTGTATCCCCAAAGCCCACGGACCTTGCGGTGCCCCAGGTCACCCGCCCATGCACCACCCTCATCTGGTGAGTTTCCAGACATACCAAGACATAAGGCCTTTATGGCCAATGTCAGCTGATGGGGAATTTCACATCCTGGGGCGGGGGCAGCCAGGGCGGAGGTTCCTGGCTTCTTCACGTCAGACCTGGGGAGGCGGCAGGGCCTGGGTGTGTGTGTGTGAGGGGGGTACCCACCGGCCCTTCCACCCTCCCTGGGCCGTGGTCCCCCCCAACGACCCCTGCCCCAGTAGTGGGGGTGGGGGGTGCGACACGCACTGGTCCCGCCCAGCTTGGGCGGTTCTTTCCTGGTCTGGCCACATAAAGGAGCATCGCCTGAGACAGAGAAGACTGCTCCTTTCCCCGGGGGCGGATGGGGGCCCTATCCCACGTGCCCCTCACTGCTCCCGCTCCCCCCTCCTCCTTACCCTCAACCAGTCGGCAGGATCCTCTAAAATGCACATTAGGTGTGGCTGCAACAGAGAGAAACCTTGGGCGGACCCCCATGCCCCACCCGGGGAGTGGGCTCCTGGACCTCTCCAGCGGGTCAGCCAGTCCCTCTCCGTACGCCTCGCCCCTCTACCTGACCCCACTCAGCGTCGTCTCCCCGCCCCCCCGCCCCCTTTCCGCTGCGCGCTACTACTGACCTGGCTCGGGTTTCCGCGCACAGGGAGTGCCGGGGTGGGATGCGGGGGTCACAGCTTCTATTTTAACAATGAATCAGAACGTTGCCCGGGAGGTGGACGAAGACCACGCCCCTGCCGCTCGGGTATAGGCTCGTTCCAGGCGCTTATTTACATACAGGCTGCGGGATTGGACAACCCGAGGGCAAGGGGCGGGGCGGAGGCGGGCGGCGCCCAGATGCCTGTGAGCGCGGGACCCGCCGCACGTCTAGCCTGAGCCGCCGGGTCTGGGTTCCCAGGAGGCCCCTGAGAGGGCTGGCACTGCCGGGCTGGCTCCCTCTGATCTCTTTCCTGCCGGTGCATTCTTGCTACAGTGCCCCAGGCTGGCCTTAGCCCAGATGTTGGGCTACAGACTTAGATTCTCTGTGCCTCAGTTTTCTTCTCTGTAAAATGGGAAGAGTAGTAGTACCTGCCGGGAAGAAATGAAATACCCAGGGGTTTTCAGCCTCCATGTGCTCGCTTCCACTGAAGCAGAGCTCACTCACAAAATGCACAGCACTCCTTTTTTTGTTTTGTTTGTTTAAATCTCCCTCCCTCCCCCCCCTTTTAAAAATATTTTATTTATTCATTCACAGGAGACAGAGAGAGGCAGAGACACAGAGGGAGAAGCAGACTCCCTGAAGGGAGCCTGACGTGGGACTTGATCCTGGATCCTGGACATCCTGAGCCTAAGGCAGATGCTCAACTGCTGAGCCACCCAGGCGTCCCTCTGTCTCCACTATTTTTTTTTAAGATTTTTTTTATTCATTTATTCATCACACACACACACACACACACACACACACACACACACACAGAGGCAGAGATACAGGCGGAGGGAGAAGCAGGCTCCATGCAAGGAGCCCAAACGCGGGACTGGATCCCAAGTCTCCAGGATCAGGCCTTGGGCTGAAGGCAGCGCTAAACTGCTGAGCCACGCGGGCTGCCCTCTGTCTCCACTTTTAAGCTGACATTTATTCTACCCTATGTGCCAACTCCTATTCCAAAATCTTTACATTCATTAGGATACTGTAACCGAAAGGGTTAAGTACAGAGATCCTCATTTCACAGCAACTAAGGACAATTAACTTGCCAGTGTCACACAGCTAGTAAAAGGCAGAGCCAAGACTAAAAACCTGGGGTGTCTGACTCCACTAGCACCACAGAGCATCTTCATTCCCTAATTCACTCAGACTTTTACTGTATCTGTGCTGGGCACTGGGGAATGGTAAAATGAATAAAATGTGCCTCCTTCAGAGATGAGAAGCACATTGACCAGTGGAGGAGATAGTCACTGAACATGTCATCCTGGCCCAGGATGGAACAGGTGGAGACACAGTTTAGGAACAAGGATAATGAGTTTTCAGCATGATCCCAATTACTGTGAACAAAACAGGAAGTAGTGAGACTGAGGTTCAACATACAGCTCTAGCGCCTCTTGGCTGTGTGATCTTGAGAAAGTTACTTGACCTTTCTGAGCGTGGTGTGGATTAAACAATTGGTTTGCGTTTGAAGGCCAGGACATGGGATCCCTGGGTGGCGCAGCGGTTTAGCGCCTGCCTTTGGCCCGGGGCGTGATCCTGGAGAGCCGGGATCGAGTCCCACGTTGGGCTCCCGGTGCATGGAGCCTGCTTCTCCCTCTGCCTGTGTCTCTGCCTCTCTCTCTCTCACTGTGTGCCTATCATAAATAAATAAATAAATAAATAAATAAATAAATAAATAATAAATAATAATAAAAAAAGTCAGGACATGGCTGGGGTCCTTTAGCCACCCACCCCTACGAATCAGTAAAACCTGGAGCTAACTCTGGGTGACCCTCCTGACAACTCAATTCATTGAATATTTAAGAAACCCCTACTTAGTGAGTTGTGTATGCTGAGAATACTTAGCAAACAAAAGATTGAATCTCCTGCTTCCTTGGTGCTTCCATTCTAGTGGAGACAGACCCCAAACAAGATAAAGATTTATTTATTAGAGGGATCCCTGGGTGGCGCAGTGGTTTGGCGCCTGCCTTTGGCCCAGGGCACGATCCTGGAGACCCGGGATCGAATCCCATATCGGGCTCCCGGTGCGTGGAGCCTGCTTCTCCCTCTGCCTGTGTCTCTGCCTCTCTCTCTCTCTCTCTGTGACTATCATAAAAAAAAAAAATTAAGATTTATTTATTAGAGAGAGGGATGGGGAGCAGGGGTTGATGGAGAGAGAGAATCCCAAGCAGACTCCTTGCTAAGCAAGGAGCCCAATGCCATGGGGGACTCTTCTTGGGGCTCCATCCCATGATCCTGAGATCAAGGCCTAAGCAGAAATCAAGAGTCAAACACTCAACTCACTGAGCCACCCAGGAGGCCTGAAGCCAAACAAGATAAATAAGCAGTAAATGGAGTAAGCAGGCTGGTGAGAGGTGCTAAGATGAAAAATGAAGCCAGGGGATCCCTGGGTGGCGCAGCGGTTTGGCGCCTGCCTTTGGCTCAGGGCGCGATCCTGGAGACCTGGGATCGAATCCCATATCGGGCTCCCGGTGCATGGAGCCTGCTTCTCCCTCTGCCTATGTCTCTGCCTCTGCCTCTCTCTCTCTCTCTCCTCTCTCTCTCCTCTGTGACTATCATAAATAAATAAATTTTTAAAAAAATTTAAAAAAAAAAAGAAAAATGAAGCCAGGAAGGAGGGTGGAAGTGATTGGTATGGGAAGGACATTACATTTGATATAAAGTGATCAGGGAAGGCCTCACTGAGATGGTGACATCTAAGCAAAGCCCTGGAGGAGAGGGAGTGAGCCTACAGGGCCTGGGGAAGAATGGGGCAGAGGGGACCGAGCAGTGAGGTTGGAGGAGAGGAGGGAAGAGGGGAAGAGTTCGGAGAAAGGATGAGGATTGTCCTGAGCACACTCCCTAGCTCTGGAGCTGTTTGGCTGGGCCCCTGGAGGGCAGGAGAGGATGGCAGACAGGTGGGCAGCAGCCAGTGTGCTGAACAAGAGATGACTGCAAGGAGGCAGGAGGAGGAGGCCAGGGAGCTCCGGGGACTGTTGGAAGAGGCCCC